CAAAAACCGGCAGAGTCTCATTTTCATTTTTATGTCATACTGAAGTCCCTTAGCAACCACAAGGAATGTGAATGGCATAGCTGGGTAAAACTCATGGAGCTCGAGTGGAATGCGCAGCCTCAGAATTATGGCTTCCGTATTGCACGTCTGTTTACTTTCATGTGGACCTGATCGAAGTTTAATTGCCATTCGGAGGAACGTAAGGGAAAGCTCTGTCTAAAGGCATGGTACCTCAGGCTTCTCTTGCCAAATTCCTTCCTGACAGCACAGCAAATGGATATGGAAATAGATAACGGGAACAAATGTTTCAGTAGGTTGATAATTCCCCATTTTAAAGATGACATGGTGGGTTGTTTTTGTTGCTTTTTTTTAAAAAAAAAAAAGGTGAAAAATGCATTGGGCATTTGCTTGCCCTAATTGTGCTCAGCTGCCTCGTTGGCATCTCTGCAACCAGGAAGCAGCTGTGCAAAATTGTATTGCAGAAACAAGACCCTTGTTTCCCATCAATCCAACCTTGTTTGGACCCCTCTCAAAGCCGTTCACTTTTCAGTATTGATCAACTGACTGGCACTGTCAGTGAGCCCCACTTGCTCATGAACAATTGGGAGCTTGCTTTGAGATCCTGTTTGCTCCTTCAGAGCCATGTCTTGACATCACGTAAGACGTCAGCAAATGGAGAAAGCCTCGCAGGCCAAATTGGGTCCAGTGCCAGATCTAAGTAGGCCTGCCAGTCAATTTCCCAAACCTGTGCTAAGTAGCCTTCCCATGAGTTCTCATCAAAGATATTGCTGCTTCTTTTGTTGACTTGCTTTGTTCTAATACCTCAGATCTGCAAAAATGCTGCCTATTGTAGCATTCATTATATTTAGGATAAACTAATTATGCATGTGCCAGGATTAATTTAAATAACAAAATAGCTTTTAGGGTAAAGAACTTTTGCCAGCAAAGATTTTTGTAGTCCACTTTCGTTCCTCTGGTGGCCAAGCATGACTACGGCTGGCCATTGTAACTCACCAATTATAGAAGCTGTCACTCCCCCCGTCCCCCGCAGATTGGATAAAAATGTCATCCAACAACCTTCTTCGTCAAGTACATTTTTCAGAGGACTCCCACTCAAATTGTCCATCTATCCTCCAGCCATTTGCTGTGCTCTGAAGTGACTTGTGTTCTGGCCAAGACAACAGAATAGATGCTGCTGCCTTTAGTTACAGCCTCATCTTCTGGGTGTTTTTTTACTATGTCATGTATGATGAAAACTTTTTGTTAACGCTACAGGCAACCATTATGTCAGGGAGCACCATGAGTCTGAACCATGACAACCCGCAGCATCGCAGCCACCTGGGGAGACAAGCCAGCTTCCAGGAACGCAGCACTTCGAGGCCTCATTACAGCCAGACGACCCGTAGCAATACGTTGCCTTCAGATGTGGGAAGAAAGTCTGTAGCTTTGCGGAAGATGAAGCAAGAGATGAAAGAAATTATGTCACCAACTCCTGTGGAGTTACACAAGGTGAGTTGGTGCACCGTCCGGTTTCTCCCCTTCTGACAGTAATCTTGCACAGAGCAGATGACCGTCGTCGTCTTCTTCTTTGGTGATCACTCATGGCCGAGTAAGACTGTCTTCCATGAACGCGGTCTTAACAGTGAGTCTGTAAGTGACTGTGGCGGCCATTTTTTGATCCACACATCCTTCCACAGTGGGGACATAGGTTTCCAGGCAGGAGTTGATCACGGTGGGTGTTTGCCAAAACGTGCCTTCCTCTTAGCACGTTTCTCCCTTTCGTCCTGAGTTCGAGCATCCCAATTGGATGACAGTACTCCCTCTAATGCAGAGCTTTCCCAAACTTTCATGTTGGTGATACCGAGGGGAAAGGTTCACTTAGCTTATTAAGCTGAAGGACGAGCATCCAAACTGGACCATAATACAGAGTTTAGACAACAAAGCAAGACAATATAATGAGCTACTCATTTCTTTGAGAGATGAAGAAAAGCATATTTGTTAATAGAAGACAATAGCAACATGGGACTATAAAACGGCGGGGATGGGGGCCTGTGGCTCTCTACATCTAATGGGACTGCAACTACCATCATTGCGAATTGGTAGACATGTTGGCTAGAGCTGGTGAGAATTGGCATCCAACAACATGGGGGGGGGGAGCACAGGTTCCCCACTCTTGCATTAAACGGCGTTTCTGTGCTCTGCTCTGGTTCGCCAGAAGCGGCTTAGTCATGCTGGCCACATGACCCGGAAGCTGCAGGCCAGCTCCCTCGGCCAATAAAGCGAGATGAGCGCCGCAACCCCAGAGTCGTCCGTGACTGGACCTAACAGTCAGGTGTACCTTTACCTTTACCCACACACTACAGCTAACTATTTGGGGGGAGGGGACATGGAAAGATGGAGCAGAACGGAGCTTCCATAATCTTTATAATGCAGACCTCAGATTATCTTTGCTTTCCCTTTCCCTACAGGTAACTTTGTACAAGGATTCAGATATGGAGGACTTTGGGTTCAGCGTCTCCGATGCCTTATTGGAAAAAGGCGTGTATGTTAAAAATATTCGGCCAGCTGGACCTGGAGATGTGGGAGGGTTGAAGCCATATGACAGACTGCTCCAGGTAAGAGTGAACCATACTAACATAGAAAAGCCGTATCAAGGGCATGGTTTTTTTTTGTAGAACAGAAAGCATTCTGCAGTCAAGTTCCGCATTCACAGTAGTGGAAACTGTATTTGAAATTCAGTTGCACAGCTAAGTTCAGCTCCCTCATTCATCGTGTACTGTGAACTGAATGATAGGGAAGACACACACACACACACTCGATCTATGAATTAAGGGCAACGTATCGTAAAGACAATAATCATCAAATGCTGAAAAGCTGCAAGCCTAGGTTCACTCACTTGACACAAAGTCCTGTCGAACACAGTGGAACTTACTTCTCAGTAAACTTCCATAGATTCAACCTGCTTATCACGACTGATAAGCCTTGGGAATGAAGCAGCCTTGGTCATCCGGATAGACAATGAGCTTTTATCAGGAGAGGTGGAGGAGTGCAACCCTATTGATTACGCTGAATCTCTTAGCCACCACGGTATCCTCCTGGATCAGCTTCAGGGAATGCCAGTTGTGGGCACTGTTTTGTAAGTGGTTTAGGTCCTTTTCGGGGACGGGATTGAAGTGAGGATCAGTTGGCCACTTGGCAGGTTGGCTGTGGAGGTGCCACAGTCTTCCATTCTGGCCGCAGTGCTATTTAATATTTCTGAAACCATTGGGAATGGTAATTACCGATGACAGTTGAACTCCAAATCTTCTAGACTAATGGTATCTTGGAACACGTGAGGTTAAGATTTATTTATAAGCATTAGCAGAGCAAATAAATTCAATTTAACAGTAGCCTTTTACCAAACATTTACTTCTTTTAAAGCCACCCTTTTTTTGGTAAGGTACTTTGTGTAGAAGGGACGCGGTGTCAAAGTGCCAGTAGATAAATAGGTACCGCTCCAGTGGGAAGGTAAACGGCATTTCCGTGCGCTGCTCTGGTTCGCCAGAAGCGGCATAGTCATGCTGGCCACATGACCCGGAAGCTGTACGCCGGCTCCCTCAGCCAATAAAGCGAGATGAGTGCCACAACCCCAGAGACAGCCACGACGACCTAATGGTCAGGGGTCCCTTTACCTTACTTTGTGTAGGCTTATAGAGTATCACAAGGATTAAGGGTCATTGAGGAGGGAGAAAAATGCATTCAGTTTTCCTTTGTCACCTTTCATCCAAGACAAACATTTTTTACTTTTCAGGTAAACCATGTTCGCACAAGAGACTTTGACTGCTGTCTGGTTGTGCCCCTTATAGCAGAGTCTGGTAACAAATTGGAACTTGTTATTAGTCGAAACCCTCTAGCCTCTCAAAAGGTAAGCTCAGAACAACAGACTTTCCCGGCTGGGGAATGGAACGAACAAAACCATGCCTTCCTTCAACAAAGTGTACACAGCGCTGGTTCAGAGATGAAACGGGAGCCTATGAACACTTTGTAGCCAAAAAAACTGTATTTAGTGCAAAACATTTAAATGGTGCTAATCCCTTTCAGGTTTCTGTTACACTGAAGATGTGGCTGTTGTGTGGCATTAAGAAGCACAGAGGGGGGGGCTCATAATTTGCTACTTGCTTCCATAGCTGAGTTTTTTTGCTCTGCTCTCGTTTTTTATCACCCATGTGTAGTGCCATTTCAACCTGACCCTTAGTAACAAGAGAAACGAATGGTGAAAATGGCTGTAAATCCTATCATGGCAGATTAGTGAAAGATTGGGGGAGGGGGGGACCCATCCATGTAAATAATTACAACAGAGGATCTGATTTTCAGAACATTGCAACTTATTCAAATACCAGCTGGTTAACTAAGTGAAGGAATCACAGGCTACTGCTGCTGGACCTAGATCACTGTATCATAGTAGTTGTTTTTTAAATGAACTATATAGTTCTGTTGCTTCTGCGGTAATGAAAAAAGGGGGGGGGGGTTAAAAGCTACTATGTGGTTTTACAACTATTTTAGCAAAAATTGCACACAGGAATCTGAAGTGCAAAGAGGTGAAACTTTTACCGGCCCAGCTGTAGTACGATTTTATTAAGAGTTATATTATACCCTATGCAATGATGTACTGAACAGGATATGTCTTGCACCCTGTATGGACTTCTAACTTTTACGTATTTGGAACTTCTGATAAATTACTGGGGTTTTTTTTAAAAAAAGTAAAACAAGTTTTAGCGAAATTTTAAAAAAAGACTTTTATAACATGTATTCAAGTAGATTTTTTTCTTTGTTTAAATTTTGAACTGCAGTAGCAAAGAAATACCAGTGCAAAACTGTATGAACTGCCCCAGTTTAGGCATATACACAAGTTAACTTGTATAGCAACACACAATTCTTTTCTTAAAATTAAAATGAATGGTATGTGCATTGGTTTCAAATAGCTATTTAAATGCATTTTGTTGGATCTCTCTCATTAACTCTTATGTCAATTCATTTAAAAACTGTAAATACATTTTGCACACATACACATACACACACATACACACACACTCAGATTCTTCCCTTTCCTGCTCAGAGCAATAAAATGCTGCCAGTTGCTTTTTTAGGTTCACCAGCAGCTGCTTTGATTTGTTTATTGTATTGTCAATGGTAATTAATGTTACTTGGTGACTGGAAAAGACACTGGATTTGTCTCTTATAACTGTAGAGTCCTCATTTCTTATTTTAACAACCAGTTTTTCATCTATTTGAATTGTTAGGATATCCCTGATGCTGTTTTCCTTAAACCTGTTACATGAACATGAAAGTGAAATGTTTTGTTCATATTTCAGCACTGCCAGAGAAAAATTCATTTAAAACGAAACTGAAACCCAGATCATGAACCACACTTAATATGTATTTTTATTTGTTAACAAAGGAGTATTAAACTAAAGTATTTTTGTACAAATTTAATACTTTAATAGCATGGTATTTATCGTCTATGTATGGTTTCTGGGAACTCAACCTGTTGCAAAAATTTGTATGGAAACTGTAAAAAAATCAAATAAAAATTATTTAAAGACAATGGATTCGATCCTGGGAATTGCAAGAATGAGGATAGCTTGTGGAAGGGGGCTTTCCTATCACTTCCTTCCTCCTGAACAATGGGGAAGGACTCCACAGAGTTGCTGGGAAACAGGAGATGTTGGCAAAACTTGGGCCAAGGCACCTTGCACTAGTGAACGTGAATTACCATTTACATTTTTAGAAGTGCGGAATATGCAAATATTTTGACTCAGAACAGCTTCTATAGAAGAAATAGATGTTCAAAGAATAAAAAATACGATGCACCATACTCTTTAATACAACTAACATGATTCAACTTTTGAAGTACACCAGTTTTACATTTAGCTTTCCGTTGATCAGAAATACAACACACTCTATATAATGTTTACACCCAGCCTATTAGGCCAAATGTGCATATGTGTTTGTTTTTAATACCATGTTTTAGTATTGTAAATTGCTCAGAGACTCTTTTATTGCAAGAAGTGATTTATGAAGTTGGTGAGCCTAACCAAAACATCTAGAAGCAGAAGCTTGTAGGCATAATACTGAATGAAGAAACACCATGTGAAACAAGGGCTGCATGCCTGTGGAACCCTTTCCAGCAGCTAAAGGTTCTGGTCAAGCAATTATTTGGGACGGGAACGGAATTCAGTTCCCTCTGCTCCCCCTTTCTTGCCAACCCGGAAGTTAATAGCAGCTAGCTATCATTTTAACTTTTGTAAACAAGAAGAATTTAGCTTTGCTGTTATTAGAGCACTGCCAGAGCATTCTGTTAGCGACCCTCACCAGAAGGAAACTGCTCTGGAGACTCCTTCAAAACACTGCTACGAGATGCAGAAATGCACTGTGGAGCAGAAGCAGCCCATAATGCTACAAACGGTGCCTGTTGGGTGTGCATTAGTCCAGTGCCGAGTTCCAAAATGGATTAAGAACAGCAGACAGGGTTATGATAATAGGCATTCATGCTCTAACTCGGGGGTCGGCAAGGCTTACCTCCGTGGGCCGGAGCGGTGCAGCGCGATGCCGGAAATAGCTTCTGCGCATGCCCAGACGCCGAAAATTGCACCTGCGCAGAAGCCATTTCCAGCGCCGCAGGCACAATTTCCGGCATCTGGGCATGCACAGAAGCCATTTCCGGAGCCGCGGAAGAGAGTCCCGCTTTAGTGCAGTGCGTGGGGACTCACCAAGCAGGCGGCTTGGATCGGGGGTGGCTCGTGGGCCGGTTAAACGGCCTCCGTGGGCTGCTTCCGGCCCATGGGCCTTAGGTTGCCTACCCCTGCTCTAACTGCCTGAGGAAAACAAAAGCCAAACAGCACTTACTAGAAATGAATGCCACTTAAAACACAGGAGTAGAAACCAGAATTACTTGATATATATAGATATAGATATACAATTTAAAAATAGGTCCTCTAATTTTAAAAAGCTGGAAAAAGTATATAAATATAACTGCATTACTTTTGTTAAAACAGAGTAAAAAGTCATACTCTCTGAAGCTGCAAAACTTTTTCAAAAGTCCACGAACACTAAATATATTCTATCTAAATATATTCAAAAAAAAGAAAAGACATAGCAGAGCATGAAACATCTAGTTATAGAATATACTTGCTAGGGTGGGAAAAGCTGCTTGGCATGTGGACTCTTCAGTGTCAAGCTTTGAAGTTTGGTAGTTGCAAGCGGGGAGGTATTTTCTTTTACCTGCAAAACAGCAAAAACGGGGGAAACAACATTGGTTGTTGGCCAAGCTTATAGTGGGGGGTGGGGTGGGGAGTATCGCTTTAAGTAAGGGCAGAAAGAATACGCTAACATGAGCAGTAGCCTGGGCTTCGGACACTATATAACAGGAGCATTTACACTGCGCACTTTGTAGACTGTGAAAATCTATGGCGGGCACTATTTGTCAAAGGTGTGGTCTCTAGCTGCACACTGCCACCAAATGAGAAGGAACCTTTATGGGTGGTAACCATGTCCCAGCCTCTGTTTGGTGTGCAAGGTATTCCAAGGTGGGATATGTAAGGTCTATGCAGGTTTCTGGTTAAGGGTCTTATGTGGATGCCTTAGGGATGAGGGAGAATGTGCTTTACCACACTCTCCCATATTGCCACCTGCACAGAACTGTGGGTGTCAACCTTAAAGCATCATCTGCTTGCTAAGGACCCGGGAGCTGCTCAAGCTGTAAGTATTCAATTCTGTTTCTCTCATGACCAGAGCCATACCCACTACTCCACATGGCATTTACAAAAAGACGTGGTCCCTTAAAAGTGCAATTTTCTCGCTGGGCTTTATCGTATCCCTCATCCACCAATGCGTAGCAGTAATCCTAGTCAGTGCTTTGACAGGAGGCCAGATAAATTCAGTTTAAAAGCTCTGCTGTAGCAGACCAAAGGCCTACCTTGTCCAATATCCAGTTCTCAAAGTTCCACAGCAAATGCTTATTCAGAGGCATACTGCCTCCGAGAGCAGTACACAGCCATCTAGTAGCGACTGCTAGCCTTAGCCTTCTATCAGTTCCCCAAATCCCCTTTTAAAGCTGTTTAAGCTGGTGGCCATCACTATAATTTGCGTAATTGGTACGCATTCTTACAAGTGAAAATAAACGCACCGCATAAAATATTACTGTATTTTTCGCCCCATAGGACGCACTTTTTCCCCTCCAAAAATGAAGGGGAAATGTGTGTGCGTCCTATGGGGCGAATGCAGGCTTTCGCTGAAGCCTGGAGAGCGAGAGGGGTCGGTGCGCACCGACCCCTCTTGCTCTCCAGGCTTCGCGCATATCTCCGCAAGCCGTGGGAGCCTGCACCGGGCTCCCGCGGCCTGCGGAGAGCTGCCTGTTCTGGGGGCTGGGGTCGGGAGCTCGGGCTTCCCCGCCCCAGCCCGCAGCTGGGGAATAAATTTCCCCCCCTTTATTCCCCCCCCAAAAAAAACTAGGTGCGCCTTATGGGACGGTGCGTCCTATAGGGCGAAAAATACGATATGTACAGTATCTTATCTACTGATAAATGCTTCTTACCAAACATACTTTCGAAGGACTTGAGCAATCATCTTGAAATGTAGATTGCCTTTTGAGTCCACCCGAAGTTTCCTCTGCAGTACCAGCCGGTTCAACAGCTGCATCGTCAACTTCCATTTTAAGAGAAACGGCAGGTTCCCCTTGATTATTTCCAGAATGAGAAGCAAAGTCACACGTGTCATTCTCTTGCTGACTCTGCCAGATCTTCTGAGGTGATGTTTGCTCGGAATGTGCATCTTTCATGAACGCTTTTAAATGTGTTTTCCTGTGGAAACTCTTTTTCTTAATGACCGCTTGGAGTTTGTCTTCTTCAGCAATAATATAGACTCGGCAACGTCCTCTAGTGATAGCTGTGTATACATGTTGCCAATTCTGGCGAGGTGTATCGCCAACAACATATACAATAGTATTTTCCTCAGAACCCTGAAAATTATATTGAGAAAGAGCTCTTGAATTAAACTGTTTAAAAAATGCTTATGGTTGGGTCCAGATTTAGCCATGTAGAGAGAAGGTTCACTGAAATAGGGTGTTAGTTAATAAGGACTAATTTAAATCCCACTTGTTACTCTAACATAGCTAAGTCAAAATCCAGCTCTAACAGTTTTACAATAAATTAAGGAGTCTAAATGCTTCAAGTTTTCATTTTTTCCTTTACAATATTAAATAAAGCCATTGGCATCGCCTGTAATTTCTACCTCAGAAGCAACAAACAAAAATAGACAGGACTAAAGTAAAATTATTTCTGTCTAATTCCTATATAGGCACAAGTTAAGTTTCTGAATCATGTGGTCAGATCTTGCCTCTTCCTTGGCTTCTTACTTTTCCACACTGGCAGGCACACACCTCGTTCTAGACTTCAAAAGTTGCTTTCTACTGTGGATGCTGACTTCTCAAGTTTATGTTGCAGCAAGGCCAGGACAACGTGATGGCTCTCATCGAAGCTTCTTTCTACCACAATCCTCTAAGCTGAAGAGTTAAACTCCATCTCACAGATGTGATAGTTTTGAGAAATAAATGCTGCTGTTTTGAATTATGGTATTTCAGCAATGACCCCACAGCTTACCTGAAATGTGTGAATAGTTCTGGCCCAGGCATGCTTGATCTTAGAGTGTTTCTGGAGGGCTTTGTAATGCATGACATACTCAGGTCCATCAGTTATGCCAATAGTCAGGAAACGGCGACCATCGACTTCCTTATCCTATAAACAGAATATGCAATTTCACTGCTTTTCAGTACAGCATCGATTTGCCAGCTGGGTCCTTTACCTTCAAGCAGTCCTTCCACTAGGAACCCAGCCGTGACATTCTCCTGATTACAACACAGATGCAGAGATTAAGCCCCATCTGAGAATTGCCTGATCCTCCTGTACTTTGAAGCCACACATCTCATTTTACTTAGATGTGTTAAGTTTTCCAGTTCACCTGCCTCCTTCCATTTAAGTGTTGCCTCCTTACCTGAGAATCAGGCACAGAGATTTATTTATTTTTAAGTTTCTAAAAGCAGGCTGATGACAAGTTTTTTTCTGCCACTAAACAACTATTGGATCAATTGAAGATTTGAGCCAGTGGATACTCACATAGCATCATAGTGCCAATTAGATTTGATAGCAAGGCTATCACAGACGCAGAGGATCTTCCATAAAGAAAACCCCATGACTTAATATCAGCAATTGCCCCTTTTTACACCTATCTATGATAATGAGGTACAGTACATTGCGTCTCTGTCCTGGTTTAGAGGTTGACTGCAATTAATCTTGATTAAGCTTGATTTTACTGCTTGGTTTCTTTAAAGCAAAAAATAATAACCATAACAAATAACTTCCCCGGACAAGAATTACATAGGCATGTTATCGGACAACAAACCTTGGCTATAGCTTGTGGCTAGTGAAAAGGTAGCTTAACCACAAGTCCCGGTTTGGATGACACAAGAATTCAGCACGGGGTGGGAATAAAAGAGAACACAGGAGCCAAAAGGTTGCAAACTCCTTCCTGGGAATGTACACATTTGCATAGTCCCACAACGTGCAAACCAGGCCACTGTAATGCCACAATTTCTGCTACTGTGACTCCGAGATCTTTGAGCAACCAAATATAGATGCAGACTAAGAAAGGAGGCAGCTGCCTTTTCATGTGTGACCTGGAAGGCGGGGGGAAATGCCTCTTCCTTCCAGGAAGAGTTCCGAAATCCATTGATCATTCTACAGCGTACTTGCCTCTTTAATGAAGAATATTTCTCCATTGCACAACCGCCTATCATCGTAATTGTTATTACGGTCATCATCAGCATCAGCATCACGACCCGAGAGACGAGCTTCCCTTCTTGAGCAGACGTTGCAAGTGCAAGGATCAGAACTCCCAGCGCCTTTAACATTCTTTGTGCAAGTAACGGAGTCCATTGCGATAAGATCTTTCATATACGCATTCCTTGTGGAACAGATTTTGTCACCAAGCCTAAATTGCAGCCGATTTTTATGGTTTCTGAATCAAATTGAAGCAGAGGTCTAAATTAAATTAAAGTTTCAACAAGTCGCTCTTTCGGCTATGGCATTAATGACTGCCCAACAACTCCCCAAAGTAATTTTCCTGGCTTTGATAAAGAACACGCAAGAAAGGATGTTGGGAGGTTTGCTAATAGATTTGCCAGCTTTGCTGCATCAATTAAAGCTAAGCTTTAAAAAAAAAGTGTACCTCCCGGGAAAACAATAAAACAGCATATTTCTTAGGTTTTCGTTCCAGTTTATTATGAACGCAGTTAAAAACAATAAAAAAAACCAAGCACATCCCAATTTTAAAAACAATGTTCTCATGTCAATAAGCTAGCAAACTCATGGATTCTGGACTTTACAAATGTCTGCTAGTACACAAAGAACTAGAAATAAGGACCTTTTCACACAGCGAGAAACACTGCAGTTGTGAGTGGGACTCCCATGGTACAGCACTGGAGTGATGTCCTAAGTCCATGCAAGGGGTGAACACAGCCATATTGTAAGTGCTCCAGCACTTGTTATGGTGTCCCATTGCGCCAGAAGTGGTTTAGTCATGCTGGCCACATGACCCGGAAAGCTGTCTGTGGACAAATGCTGGCTCCCTCGGCCTGAAGTCAGATGAACGCCACAATCCCATAGTCACCTTTGACTGGACTTAACTGTCAAGGGGTCCTTTACCTTACCTTACCTTACCTCACCTTACAGAACAAACTGGTTAGGGATAACCTTGAACATCATACAGTGAAAGCTCTTCAAAAATGTCATACCGCGTTGTGTGCCCTGAGTAGTGCTTACAGCAGATTTCATTTATGATGTCACAGTCCTTCCTAAGATAAGAAGAAAAAACTTTATTAGTTTAATTGTGAATTTTATACAATAGATTTAGAATAATAGAAGCCAAGTATTTTTAGAATAATAGAAGCCAAGTACTGTCTTTAACCAGCCAGTGAAATAGCAAACGTTTGCTCCCTGCCAGTAAATCACTTCCAGAGTTATTTGCTCAGACAGAAAAGAACTTAAACAATTAACACTGGCACAAAGAAAAGGCTGAAACAGCTGAAGTAAGGGTTTTTATCCTTACTTTGAGTACTTTGAGTCCTGTGAGAATAAGAGAAGATATCAAGAGCTGCTACAGTCAGTCTTAGGAGTCTCATAAGCTCAGAGGGCAGTAAGTGAAGCAGAAGAACTGCTGATTGGTCACAGGAAAGGGTAGCTATCTCTGTTCACAATAAATGACAGAAATACATATATGCTCTAGGAGCAAGAATGGTTTATGATTTAAGCTATTATGGTCTAAGAATAGACCACTGCCCAATGGAAAATACCAGTGATCCACACCTTACACCTATGATAATGATAGGTTTACAATGCACACATAAAGATCCATTAACTGTAGGAATTGTATACAATACACTATACCTCTCCTTCCTCTTTGCATACTGCCAGTATCAGGTGATACACAACTTTTGCCCCATTTATGCAACATTGTCCTCAAATGCAAGTACCTTGGGTTTTTTTTCCACCAAAGTGAATGGCAACCATCCACTGACCTAGGAAGAATAACTGGGTGTACTTGGGCATTGCTTAAGGAAACGCTACTCCTGTTTTGCCTCATCTCAAGAGAATTTACTTCATATGGTCTATGGGAGAACTGAACCAATTGCGAGCTCTGCAGATTCAACAGTCCTTGCGCAGAAATTACCGTATTTTTCGCTCTACAAGACGCACTTTTCCCCTCCTAAAAAGTAAGGGGAAATGTGTGTGCGTCTTATGGAGCAAATGCAGGCTGCGCAGCTATCCCTGAAGCCAGGAGAGCAAGAGGGATCGGTGTGCACCGATGCCTCTTGCTCTCCTGGCTTCAGGGATAGCCACGCAAAGCCTCTTGAGCGCAGCCGGAGCGCTCCTGCCTCTTCGCTCAAGAGGCTTTGCGTTGCTTTCTTGTTTCTTGTTTTCCTCCTCTAAAAACTAGGTGCGTCTTATGGAGTGAAAAATACGGTTACCCTAGGTCCTCTCTCTTTTTTTCGTTACTCTAGAACACAATGGAAATATTCTAAAAAACTGGCTTTATACAGACACACACAAAAATCCTTGCAATATACCATAATGAAAAGAGAGATGAGATGGTGTATCATGATAGTATGATATATAGTGCCAATCAAGAGAATACTGGAAAATAAAGAGAAAGCAAGCATTTGATTTACCCTCTTCTAGTTTCGCTGAAGGCACTACAGTAAGGTACAGATATAAAGCCGTTCTTTCCTTAACCATTGTTAAGACAGCAATGTGGAAGGGCTGTAACTCAGTGATAAATATCTGCATTGCATGCAACAGGTCCCAGGTTCAATGCCCAGCGTCTCAAAGTAGGGGAATGCCCTGTCTGAAACTTGGGTGAACTATTTGGGTAGTGCAGACAAGACTTATGGTCCAGGATGCAAGGGTAACACATTTTCTCCTCTCGTGAGAAGAATACCCCCTCCAATCTCCACCATCAGTTAGTGTTAGTGACTATGTCAGCACTAATCAGAGCTAACTCCTAATGGGGTTTTGAAAACAGTCAGCCCAGGAACTCCACATGCAAAGGAACTGGGGAAGCAAGCCTGTGATTCTGCAATCAAATCCTAATTGCTTCTCCATGTTTGACAGACGGGCAATGTCTTTTCTACAATGGTCAGTCAAAGTTAGCCCACATCTGCACACATAAAAATAACATCTGGCTGGATTGCCCCAGCCACTCTGAGCGGCTTCCAACACATATAAAAACATAATAAAGTGTCAAACATTAAAAAACTTCCCAATACAATTTTTACAATTATTACCTTCTGAAAGCAATGAATTGCGACTGCTCAGGATCTTGGAGTCCTGGCCCATTTTTAAGCAAAGCTTCAATGGCATACTGCAAATCTGATAACAACACAAGACAGAAACTGGTTACAGAGCAAGCAACTGAAACCAAAACCACTACAGTCCACTGTGAAAATGCCGGTTACTGACTGCTTGGAGCCATAATACTGCAGCCCCTGGGCTGTGCTATAGCCTGCACATGCCTTCCCTGTGGCCACTGAGGATTGCTCAGCACTCACCCCCCCCCCCCAATCAAGCTGGCAAGTGTGTTTGCAAAGCTGTCAGGGAAGCAGGTACACAGTCAATGGCTCTCCCCATCACAGCCCTGCTACTCTCAGCCCACACAGCTATTTATTATTTCACTTATGAATCATTTCCCAGGAAACATCCCAAAGCAATTTAAACAGCACACATGCAATTTCTAATCCAATGCAGATAAAAATCTCCACTTACAAGGCTTTGGCTGTCTGGGGAAAGTGTGATTGCCAGCACCAAACAACAGGGAAGGAATACAATGAAAATCATTTATATCCCATCGCACCCACTGCGTATGTGTGTGTAAGCGAGAGTGGGTGGGCATCCCAGTGCGTGTGAGGCACTTGGGCCAAGAGGCAGACCACCCCTGGCCTATCAAAAACTTAGGATAGGCTAGACAAGTTTCACAAAGCTCTAGGGCAGGGGTGGGGAACCTCCAGCCCACAGACCCAATGTGGCCCAGAACAAGTCCCAATTTGGCCCAAGAGACTGTTTTCACAAAACCATGACCACCTGTCCCCTGTCTAATGCCAGGTGCAAGACAGATAAGAGATGCAGCAGGACTGGCAGCACCAGTCCCTGCGGGGTTGTCAATCACTCAGCCAATTCTTGCAGAATGCAGTCCTATTCTCACTGCTTTGAGAAGCGCCAGACTGGCCAAGTCCTTTTTGCTGCAATTCCCAGCTGGCTGTGTGGTGCATGGAAAGCTCTTATGCAAGGGGATACTGACAGGTGGGCGGAACAACCCATCTGTCAATTGCCTGGTGTCATAATGATGTCAGCTGACCGAGAGGTAGATTGTCAGACCCACCTGCCCCATGAGAGTGGGGCCAGCTAATGATTTGGCCTGCTGAGCCAAAAACTTTTGTAATATATCTAATTGCCTTCGGTGCAATGTTGAAGTTGCTCTGTGCTTGGTCAAGTAAGGGAGACAAGCCATCCCAGTTAAGTACATCATGGATATTGTGCCCTAGGTGGGTGGGTACTAAAGTGAGGTCTACACAGCACCTGGTGGCTGATAGCATGCAAAACTGCTGGAGTAGGTGGCACTTCTTATGCAAGAAGGTAGATTTGCTGTGCCTCAGCTGTTTTAGCGCATGCTGCCTTGCTTCGGGAATTTAATGTGTGTCAGTAAACCATGACAAAATTCTTTTTTTAAGTAGACCATGCAAGGTGGAAGACATCCTATACCTATGCTACCCAGCAGCTAAATCTAAATCTGCAGCAATAAAGCATGCATTGGATATTGTGCAGCATTTAAGAAATTTTACTACAAAAGTTTGAAACTCACAGTGACCGGCATCTCCAGGAGGTAAAACAACAAAAATAAATTTCTTTTCAGCACTTGGCACTGCCCACGTTTTGTTCTCTTCCGACATTCTGAGCACTTCATCAAATTCTGGGTATATCCGCTTACAGATTCTAGATCCAAAATAAAGTAATGAAAGTGTCTCATGCTGCCCTCGACAGGATTGTTTTCCTTATGGGTGACATCATTTAATTTTTAAGTGAAGAACCATAGTTTCATTTCATACACAATAACTTATACAGATTGCACCCTCCCATTACACAATATGTTTATGTATAGTTATCACACCATGCATTCCCAAAAGAACTAGGTTCGGTTTGTCCCAAATGCGGACTAAATTTCAAACAAACATTAATGGGAAGTGTTTCAAGTAGGAGGCTGTTTTTAAATACAGTGGTACCTCGGGTTAAGTACTTAATTCGTTCCGGAGGTCCGTACTTAACCTGAAACTGTTCTTAACCTGAAGCACCACTTTAGCTAATGGAGCCTCCTGCTGCTGCTGCGCCGCCGGAGCACAATTTCTCTTCTCATCCTGAAGCAAAGTTCTTAACCCGAAGCAATATTTCTGGCTTAGCGGAGTCTGTAACCTGAAGCGTATGTAACCTGAAGCGTATGTAACCTGAGGTACCACTGTACAAGTGTCCACACATGCATGGACACACACACACCAACAATATTCAAAAGGTTTGGGTTTCCCCCCTGTTGTTCCTAGACAGAAATGTAACAGTGATAGGCTAAGCTTTCTAAGCATGTTACACATCTCCAGGCAGAAGTTCAACAGAAACTCCAGTGCAACACACACAACTCAAATATCGCTGTGAAGAATAGAGCAGGTTGTGGCAATCAGGTATCTTCCTGTATAAGAGGAGAAAGTTGTCATGGCACAGTCTGCATGGCCACAACATGACAACAGCAATGAGGGCAACTGAAGCTGCACAAGTGAGCAGGATGGCACAGCAAGCAAGAAGAAGAAGAAGAAGAAGAGTTTGGATTTGATATCCCGCTTTATCACTACCCGAAGGAGTCTCAAAGCAGCTAACATTCTCCTTTCCCTTCCTCCCCCACAACAAACACTCTGTGAGGTGAGTGGGGCTGAGAGACTTCACAGAAGTGTGACTAGCCCAAGGTCACCCAGCAGCTGCATGTGGAGGAGCGGAGACGCGAACCCGGTTCCCCAGATTACGAGTCTACCGCTCTTAACCACTACACCACACCTGCGTGTGGTACAAGCAAGCCTTCCCATGTCCCTTGAGTCACCACCACCTGGCAGCGCACTTGCATGTCCACATAATACAGAGAGGGAAGTTTGCGGTGTGCCAGCGGGTGCAAGGAGCAAGCAGGCAGGCAGCCCAGACAGGTCTGCAGGCCTTCAAGCACTTCCCTCTCCCGTCACAATGGCCCCGATCCTGCTGCCACTGCTGCTCACAAAACAGAGGGGGACAAAGAGGCAGCAGTCTTTCTCCCCTTCACCAACAGGAAGAAGCGGGCAGCATCGTGGCTAAAAGAGGAGAGAGGCTCGTTCCCCTCTATTCTGTGAGTGGTAGAGGCAGCAGGGATCTTAGGATTGGGGCAGGTCGCGAGGAGATAGGGAGGTTTGGGTGAAATGTGGGGGGTTGGCAGCAAGGTGGGGGGTTGGCAAGCGCCATAAGCAGGGGCAGCAGCCCCACATTTATTTTCAAAAAAATAAATCCCTACCTTGTTGCATTATCCACAATTAACTGTGACTCAGCCCTGTGATTAGTTTTCAGTTCTATAGACCAGCCCCTTGACTGAAGGCTCTCAAAAATATCGGCCAGCATATTACCAGGCTCAATGCTGGGTAACTGCCTAACATCACCTAAACGAAGTACAAAGTTATATTTAACGAAATTAGCTGCATTGTCATCATTATTTTATTTATTGCATCTCTATCGCACACTTAGGTCTCTCCAAAGCTGTTTACCGTGATATAGAAGAACACATCAACCCAACTGCTTCGGTCTAAAATACAGCAAAGGCAGTACCAGCTCAGAAGCGATACTGTGTGATTTTCTTAGTAAGGATTCCCACCCCTCCCCCGGTCTCTTATAGTTCTCCCCAAGTTGGGAGTCCAAATTAATATGGCAAGAACTTTCTGTGTCTGTGTGTGAATGAATGAATGAATGAATGAATGAATGAATAAATAAATAAATAAATAAATATTATTTTGCATGGATATAGCTCATTTCGAATTTGTCTTCATTGTTCACCAAAGCTTTACACTTACCAAGAATAATAATCTTTGCCAGCCGGGCATGGTCCAACAAGAGTTGTAAAACCCTGCTAAGCATTCTCACAGGCACCATACTTCCTTCGTCTACAACCAAGACATTTACTGAAGAAAATTTCCATGGATTGCGTTTACTTTCACTCCATTTAGAGAAACTGTAGGTAACCTAAAAAACAAAAACAAAAAAAATTCCATAATTTAAAATTAGCATTCCTTCAAAGAATGGTTTGGAGCATCAGAGTCGTGTCTGAGCATCAGACTATAGTTTGCTATGAGGTCTAAAGCAGCAAGTATGGTTTGCACTTGGCCCTTCAAACTACAATCGGAAACCATGGTTTGAAGCTGGAAGGCCTTTTTGGGAAATGATGTGAAGAACAGCAGCTTTTAGAGAATCACAATAGTTTCAGTTCTCTCAAATAATGCCAAATATAATATTCAGATTAGTAAACTGAAATGCATATGATTATACTACCAGACAGTGGTGACAGCAGTCACAAAATTAAAAGACACCTGCTCCTTGGGAGAAAGGCGATGGCAAATCTAGACAACATCTTAAAAAGCAGAGACATCACCTTGCCAACAAAGGTCCGTATAGTAAAAGCCATGGTTTTCCCAGTAGTGATGTATGGAAGTGAGAGCTGGACCATAAAGAAGGCTGATGGCCGAAGAATTGATGCTTTTGAATTATGGTGCTGGAGGAGACTCTTGAGAGTCCCATGGACTGCAAGAAGATCAAACCTATCCATTCTGAAGGAAATCAGCCCTGAGTGCTCACTGGAAGGACAGATTCTGAAGCTGAAACTCCAATACTTTGGCCACCTCATGAGAAGAGAAGACTCCCTGGAAAAGACCCTGATGTTGGGAAAGATTGAGAGCACAAGGAGAAGGGGACGACAGAGGACGAGATGGTTGGACACTGTTCTCGAAGCCACAAACATGAGTCTGACCAAACTGCGGGAGGCAGTGGAAGACAGGAGTACCTGGCGTGCTCTGGTCCATGGGGTCACGAAGAGTCGGACATGACTAAACAACTAAACAACAACAACAACAACAACATCATACTACCAGAATATTGGAACGGTTTTAAAAATAATTCCTACCTGATGCAGAGTATAAGCAGGTTGTCCTGTTTTATCAGACAAGAGAGAAGCTGCCCTCCCTGTTGGTGCTGTATATAAAACATTTAAAGATTCATTTCTGCATTGAATCATGTTGGAAGCATGGCCGAAAGTATTCCATTCTTCAGAAGCATCGAGGTCAGCTTCAAAATCTTTACAGGCATTTATAACTTCTGTATTTTCTCCCTCACTTAGATAGCAGAAAAGGTGGGTAACTATTGTTGTTTTCCCACAACCACCTTTCCCACTTATGATCGTCACTGGATTGGAACAGATCAGTTCTATAGCACGTTCCTGATCTGGATCTACTTCTACTTTGTGTTTCAATTCCTTCTCGGGTTCTTCAAAGTCGGAATCATGGTTAGAGTTTTCTTGCACCTCTGAGGAATTGCCAGGCTCCTTCTGGTCCACTGTGCAAGGTTCCTCATCGTTTATTTCACTCTTAGCAAATACGTCTCTCAAGTTAGTTGCATGTGCACTTCTATTAAGTACCCTTTTCGGATCGGCACGCAGCCGCCATGGGGTTTTATTTCTGAGCTCACGTACAGAAGTTGCAATTTGCTTCTCAGAATTGAACAAATGGGGAAGGAACACAAGCTCTTTCTCAGTAACCACAATTTTTTCATCTTTCATAAATTTAATCGATTCCCAGGCATGTTCCACGGGCATATTCTCTGATACCATACGTGTCAGTTCATCCTGTTCTTCATATGTATGTCCCATTTCTGCACAGCTCTGTTTGAGCTTTTCATATACCATTAGTGCATTCTTCTGCAAATCGGGAATCTTCTCAAGAATATGTCTGCACTCGCGTATGGTCTTCCAAGATGCTTCACCAAAGTAAGTATGCAGCTCTCTTTTCATTATCTTTCAGAGAAAGCAAAAACCTGTTATTTTGACACATGGCATTTTTAACAGTACTCTATAAAGTTAGAAGGCATGCAACCTTCCATTAGCTTTGGTGCACTATTTTCAACCAAAGCAAGCAAGTTCAACAGAAATTCCAAAAGCCAATTCCAATGTTGGCCAAAACATTAAGAGCGGTATGCAACAAAGTAGTCCATTAGTACATAGACTCGCTCTCCTGCCCAACTCCATCCCATCTGCTTCAGAGGGTTGGCAGGAGGGGAAAAAACCCAGAACAGATTTAGGGGAGGCACAGAAAGAGGAGGGAGGGGGAAGTTCTGGTGCACAACCAGAAGTCTTTGCACTAACAGAACCACTGTAATGGATCCTGCCCTAAGATTACAATTCTATACCCTGCTACACAAGTCCTATCGTTTCCAACTGGGGACAGAACGGCAACAGCTAAAAACTAGTATTCACCGAAATTAAAAAACCCAATGAGCAGAGGGCTGCTAGGCTTAGGAACAAGAGGAAGACTGATTGGGAACAGCTCCAAGGACTTTGTTAAGCTCGCTAGGAACGATGGGATTAGGGTGGCAGACACCAAGGACAAGCTGTGTGTACAGATGGTCAGGGAAGCCCAAAGAAGTCTGCAGGACTTGCCACATCAATTCTACCATTAGCACAAGTATACGGTATGATGATACTCATCTGTGTTTCGCTGCTACACCTGGATCAGGAGAGGGTGTCACTGTTCTAAACTAGTACCTGGGTATAGTAGTGAGCTGAAAGGCCTACAAAGCAAAAATGAATCCTGCTGAGAGCAGGCATAGGCAAACTCGGCCCTCCAGATGTTTGGGGACTACAATTCCCATCATCCCTGACCACTGGTCCTGTTAGCTAGGGATCATGGGAGTTGTAGTCCCCAAACATCTGGAGGGCCCAGTTTGCCTATGCCTGAGATAGAGACTCTGCGGATGAGCAGTGCCCAAGTCTAGGAGTTCCCCTGTTTTGGACAGGGTTGCACTCCCTCTGAAGGAACAGGTGCATAGTTTTGGGGGTGCACCAAGATCCATCTCAAGTGACTCCTGTGACAAACGGTGCCCTTTATCACCTTATGCTGGCATGCCATACTTGATTTTTCCCTGGCCATCGGGATTGATGCACGACTAACCTCAGGGTTGGACTACCGTAATGTGCTATGTTATGCGTGGAGCTTCCCTGGAAGCCGCAGCTGGAGCAGAATGCTGCAGCCAAGTTGCTGAGTGAAGCAGCTTGATGTGCACATATTGCACCTGTGCTGAGGGACCTGTACTGGCTGCCGATCAGCTACTGGGCCACCTTCAAGGTATTGTTAAATACATAAAACCCTGAACAGCCTGGCACCAGGTTACCTGAAAGACTGTAATGTCCATGTACAGACCTGTAAGATCACTTAGATCACCTGGGGAAATTCTACTTGTAGCCCTGCATCCTGCATATCATCATAGGGTGGCCATTTTCTGCTATTGCCCCTATATTATGGGATGCCCTGCCCTCTGCCATAAGTGAAGCAGCAACCATCAGTTGTTTCATATAGCTTGAAAACGCATCATTTTTCTAGGCCCTTCTTCCCTGACTCATAAAGCTGGACCCAGTTTTATGTGTCTGAATCCCCCAATTCCTGTTTTCTTGGCTTCTATAGCCTTTTATTATTGCTGTTTTATTGGTTCTAGGCTGCAGTTTGGGTTTTAGTGATATTGGTGTCTGTGTGCGTGCATTGTAGACTGATTAGGGATTTTGAAAATATTAAGCAGTTAATGAAACTTTTCAATAAATAAATAAAACAACTTTATAATTGGTGCAAATCAAGCCTCTTCTCTCTCTTTGGATTAGAATGCAACCCAGCTGTACTAAAAGAAACTGAGGCATCTGCCATAAGGATAATGGGGAGATGAAGTGAGGACCTCGTTTCCTCTTTCCTGTTAACTAGGTCTTTGCTTAGAGAGGCCAAGCTGTATTCAGGGAAGAAGGCAACTTTGCTCTTCCAACAGCTTCGGTATTTGGTTCATGCAACAGAAAGAAGAAAACACCCAGTCTCTCCCTTTGTAGCTGCTCGCTTCAACGGAGGAAAGTCAGCCGCTAAGGGAGACAAAGGAGACCCGCCTTATGGTGGTTTTGTTCATGCACAGATCCGCAGTCTCTTGAGAACATCTGGTGAGAGCACCAGGTGTGCATCCTTGCCCCAAAATTCCAGCAGAAGCATGGAAAAATCCCAAAGCTAGCTTTTGTACATGGCGTTCTTCTAGAACACTTATGAAACCATTACATCTAATCTTGTTGAAGCCATTTTAAAATCTATTGTAGAACAGTATGACTACAATTCAGCTGACTTGAGTTATAAGTTGTTAAGGGGGAAAACTGAGTCCTATTATCAAATGAACTACCATCATATTATGCTTTTTTGTTGGCATCCATCTGTCTTGAGAGACAACGGAGCCCAAGTCAAATGTCTGTGTTAGCAGTACTGAGGTAAGCCGTGTGTCTGGAGGTCCTGGGCTGCCCAGGCAACAATATTAGTTTCTTACTTCTCCGAATCCAAGTTTCCATGGCTCTTCCCTCAAGATCTCATCCAATATTGTCAATGTATAATCTTCATCGTGTATTTTGCTCCAGTCCAACTTTTCAATGCAACAAGAAACAGCTCGTGGCAGAAGCAGCGGCATTAATTCCAATATAATCGGAAAGGACAAGGCTACTAGTACAGCTTTCCCTGCAACTGTGGAACCAAGATACAAAAAAAATGCTGTTTAAAAAAATCGAAGTCAGTATGTTTTACTGCAAGTTCAATTTAGCATACATAAATATTCCTCATGTACAGTTACTGAAAGTAGTTCCAAACACCGCAATCTCATATACGTTGGGTTGGTATCAAAGGTACCCTTCCTCCATTGGAGGCATCTTTGAATCCATCCTGTGGACATTTGTCATCCATTTCTTACTTTGTGGTAGCTTACATAGATTTCTGAAGCCGAGAAAGCAGCATCTGCTTTGAAAGAGAGAAAGAGAGCGAGAGAGAGCGAGAACAAACTGCTGCTATTTATGAATGAGTTGGGACACTGTTTGAAAATATTAGCCAACTCCTGGTTCAAATGTAAAGTATCTTGGCTTGTTAAGTCAAGTTATAAGTAAGTCCTGTGCGCCCTCACACTGAGTTCTTGCATTGCCTCCTTCTACATTAGCATGATGCAATTCAAAACTCCCAGGGTTAACTAAAAATAGCCAAAATTGTGAAATTGTAGTGATTAGGCTTGGAACAAAGCAGGATCTGAAACAGCACTTTGACACTGTTTCAGATCCAAGTTTGTTCTAAACCTGGGAACTACCGTTTCTTGGTTCAAGACGCAACGGGAAACTTTTGTTTAATTAATCCAGGGAGTCCTTAACTGCTGTGTGCCGAGAAAGGAAGAGGGAAGGCCAACAAAATGACAGAAGGCACAGGTGCATGCGTTTCTCAATTTAATAAGCCAAGGCAGTTTATATCTGAACCAAGCCAATTTTAGCACAGGGAATCTGAATACAGTCACTCAACAAGCCAGTATAACAGAGTTGTGGCTCCTGAAAACTCAAGAGTAGTTATGAGCAGAGTTTCACTCATTCTTTGTGCGTGCCTGGTATGTTCTGAATGTAAATATAGGAATAGCCAGCATAGTGTGACCATGCTACTGAAGTGTATCCAAAGGCATGCACTTACACTTCCTTTAAAGTAATAATAATTTTCTAAAATATTATTATTTTAAAATTCCTTTAAAGTAATAAAACTACAACTAATCCAGGACACACCTGCCAGACTGGTGACTGGGAGCGGCCACTGGGACCATATAATACCAGTCCTAAAAGATCTACATTGGCAGCCCAGTATGTTTCTGAGCACAGCACAGTCTTGGTGCTGACCTTTTAAAGCCCTAAATGACTAGGCTCAAGGTCGTCATCTGAACTAGCCAGGTTGTTTAACTTACAATCAATCACCGTCAGTCCATTATTTGGAAAACAAAGGCTTTAGAGCTGTCTTGCCCCCAAAATGGCAACTAGACATTCTGTTTTGGTGACTGTGACCTTGGTTTAAGGGGCCATTTGGCACCTAGTTTATATATCTGAGTTTCTAACACTGCCGCTGAGCAAATGATGGAAAGGAATGCAACCCTTAAAAAGTATTGGCCCCACCCCCAGCTGAGAGAAAAATCATCTTGCCCAACCATAGATTCTGGATTGTTTTTCCTTATGGACAAACACAGCTTCCTTAGCCTTTGATATAATGTTTGAAATTGTTACAAAACATTGTTTTCCTTATAGCTAACCTAAATGTGGTAATGGCCAGTTTGTAGCTATTGCTTCTTAGGCCTACACTTAGATCTTAACATAAAAATACTTCCTTTAAAAAAAGAAAAGTTTGAAGAATGATACTGAAGTCTATCACTACCACTTTATAAACATATTAAAAAACCTGAATTCCTATCTGATTTCCATATAAAGTTAAGAACAGTGAAGTAGCCACTATAATAAGAAACAATTGAGTATTACATAGTTATACTTACATGACTCCTTAACATAATGAAAAATGTTAAAGTTTTTGGTATCTGTACAAGTTTGACTTTGGGTATTTGTAGATATCGCTCCTTCCTGAAGTTTTGACTCCTGAAACTGTTTCAGTGTTTTTTCAAGATGTGCAAAGTTTAGAGAAGACTCTTTAGGAAACCATTCAAAGAATGCATCTTTAAATAATGGTGGGACATCACATGCTCTAAAGAACAGTGAAATAATATCTTTCCCTGCTTCAGGCTGCAGAAAATAAGATGGGTAGCTCTTCATATAGTACTTTGAATGAGACCGCGTAAGTTTGGCATTCACTTTCCACCAGGGATCAACCAATGGAAACCGTCCAGTCACTTCGTATGTCTTTTGGGATGCTTCCTCCTGAATTATAACTGAAACGGTTTAAAAAAGGATTGTCAGTACAATAGTCAAATGTGCTGGTACAATATTCTTTCTAGAGGGTTTTTAAAAAAACAGTCAATGATATGGCATGGGGGTGGTCTGCTCAGATATAGGCTTTCCTAGAATACCCAGGTTCCACCAATAATTGTTGTAATGCAGAAAAGATTTGTGCATAAAAGGGCAATTAGTTTTGCAAGAAGTAACCTTTCAAATACATGAGGCAAAATTACAGGGTAAACACAATTATTCTCTTAATATCTGACTTCCACTTTTCTCACATATAGGACCAACTCAGAAAAACCTGAAATCATGGTTTCCCATTACAGTTGTACCTTGGAAGTCAAACGGAATCCGTTCCGGAAGTCCGTTTGACTTCCAAAACGTTCAAAAACCAAAGCACGGCCTCTGATCGGCTGCAGGAAGCTCCTACAGCCAATCAAAGTCGCAGAAGCCCCGTCAGACATTCGGCTTCCAAAAATAGTTTGCAAACTTCCAGGTTTGTGGCATTTGGGAGCCAAAACGTTCAAGAACTAAGCTGTTTGAAAACCAAGGTACGACTGTATACGAACAAGCCTAGATGGGTCTCAGGCTCATATGCTCTTCCTCTCCTCACATGGAAATGCAAAACACTCATCTTTAAGCAAACCATGTTCCTGGTTACTTCAGAACTCTAGGAACTGAGGCTTGTTAGAAGCCAGGGTCGAAATACAGATTCAGATCTTGGCTTGCTTTTAAAAGATGTACAATAGTCTGTTTTCATAAACAATCTCCCCTAGATTGTTGCTCACCAAAAAACAGTTCTACAGTTTGTGTTTACCACAAAGGCCAGCTGTGTAGAGCCCTGAGTAACTAGAAACATATGAAAGTTCAAGGCTACTTCCACGCACATCCCAAACAACTATTTAATGTTGTATGGATTGTGCTTTCTTCATGAAAAGGAATGTATGTATGTACGTACCACACTTGAGTGAAAGGTACACTTGAACTACAGTATGGTGTAATGTTTAGTGTTGGACTTATCCCAGTGGTGTCCAAACTTTTTTCAAAGAGGACCAGGTTTGATGAAGTGAAGGGCCATGGGGGCTGACCAAAGGGCCAACCAAAGTTGACCTTTTCTTAGGATTGAAGTTGTTGAGCTTTTTTAATTTATTTTACCCCAAAGTTGTTGAGCTTTTCTTAGGATTGAAGCTGTTAAGGTTTTTTTAGGATTTTACCCCAGGAAATAAAGCCATGAAGCTCATGATATGACCTTGGGCTAGTCACTACCTCTCAGCCATATTTACCTCACAGGGTTGTTGCGTGGACAAAATGAGTACAGAGAGAACCATTAATCATTACTCTCACTGCTTAGGTAGAGCCTTAACAGCAAGAAATTTGAACCCAGATCTCACAGAGTCCCCAACTGCTCCTTCCAAGGCAGCATTAGTGCAAGCTGAACGTAAGACATCTAACTCACTGAGTGCCTTGGGCCACCTGATACCTCTTGGCCTAACGTACTTCACATGGGGAGAACCAAGTATGCCACTTTGAGCTCCTTTGAGAAAAGAGTGGGAGATAACTGCAATAAACACTTTCAAAAGCAAAGTGCCCACTAGAAACAATGGAATTAGGAAATGAAGACAGGCCAAGGAATCAGTTCTGCATTTGTTGGCAAACACTTTGCAAAATCAGGAAGAAGAGCAACCGCTATACATGACTATGCAAAAGGGAGTCCCATGCAGTTGAATAGGACTTGCTCTCTTTTAAGTAAATATAGTATTACAGTCTTGAACTGCAGGGGGGAAAATAACAAATCAGCAATTAAGTCTTTTGCAACGTAAACAAATAATCCCGTGGCACCTGAAAGGCTACTAGTTTTATTACAGCAGCAGCTTTTGTGGGCTAGGATTCACTTCAGCAGATGCACATACGGATGGAACAATGAGTTGGCAAGAACGGGTGTGAAGAAAGGTCTGAGGCAACTGAAATGCAGGAAATACCACACTCTCATAATAACGTTAAATGTAAAACTAACTGGCGATTCATTCACACAGCAGTATGGGTGGGCAATTGCCCCCCTCCAATTCCACCCTGACCCCTAGATTCACAGCTTTCATTAAAAAAACCCCAAAAGTTTCTACCATTTGTAGAACCTGAAATATGAGGCAAATGTACAGGAACTATTCCAACTACAGTACTCCCTTTTCAGCCTTTTACTTGTCTCCCCACCACCAGGAAAAGTTTCCTCGGACGCCCATGCAAGTCCGAGGTGCTGCTGCTGCTGCTTATGTTAGCACCTAAAGTGGATTAAAAAGTGAAAGACACACAAACGCCAAGCATTTCTATTCCTAAAAGGCGTGGGGTTTGTTTCCTGTTAATGCAGAGGCGCTTCCCTGTTTCTCCCACCTACACTAGGTGAAGACAAGTTTCGGGTCCCACAGCCTTGCCCCTCGGACTGCTAGTCAGTCCCAGACTGGCCAAGCGCCTCCTCAAATGCAAAGAGGAGGGCGAGGCCCGTCCAGCGGGTCCGCGGGGACTTGCGCCACGCAGGCAGGCAGGCAGGCGCGCAAGGCAGCGAAGGCGCGCGCCTCCTCCGGCTCCTTACGGGTCTTGCGCGCTGGTCTGTGAAGCGGCTGCTGGTTCGCGCCACCGAAAACATCTTCGAAACCCTCCGGGTCCGGGTCGTCGTCCTCGTCGCTCTCTGCATCTTCGTCCTTGGGAGCCGCCTTTCCTTCCTCCGTTTTCAGCGGCTGCAAGAGCCCCCAGACCTCGAAAGCGCGACTCTGGCCCGACCGGCGTCGCTGCGCCATTTTTCGGAGTTCCCGCCTGGGCAGCGCCTTCCTCCGCGCGCAGCCGCTGCCCCGCCTGTAAAGATGTGCGGCCTCTTCCGGCCTGTGGGGCCAAAAACAACAACAGCAAGAAGCGCCCTGTTTCCGGGTGTGCGCAAGAGATTGCTGCTAGCCTCCTCTGCTTGCCCGTGATGTGCCTGCGCAATCAAGATTGGCAAAGCAACAGTGCGGTTGGTGTGAGAAAAGCAAGGAAGTTGCCTCAGTTTTGGGAGCGGTGGCTGTGCTTAGCAATCTTTCGCAACAAAAGCAACTCGCCTCATTAGGTTCGAAGCGCTTTTATAAAGGACTTAAGCTTTATATCAAAGTCCCGTCCCCTCCCCGCGCAGAGCCACAATTCCTAGCCCGCTTAAACTACAGATCCCAGGATTCTTTAGGGAAAGCTTTAAATGTATGTTGGGTATCCAGCCTGTGGCACCTTAAAGGTAAAGGGACCCCTGACCATTAGGTCCAGTCGTGGCCAATTCTGGGGTTGCGGCGCTCATCTCGCTTTATTGGCCAAGGGAGCCGGCGTACAGCTTCCGGGTCATGTGGCCAGCATGACTAAGCCACTTCTGGCGAACCAGAGCAGTGCATGGAAATGCCGTTTACCATCCTGCCGGAGCGGTACCTATTTATCTACTTGCACTTTGACGTGCTTTCAAACTGCTAGGTTGGCAGGAGCAGGGACCGAGCAACGGGAGCTCACCCCTTCGTGGGGATTTGAACCGTGACCTTCTGATCGACAAGTCCTAGGCTCTATGGTTTAACCCACAGCGCCACCCACGTCCCTTAAAGACACCTTAAAGACGAATAAATGCTGCAATCGTTAAGCCTCATTGAATTTGATAGGACTTATGAGCAGGCATGAGAAGGGTTGCACTGCTAGTCTGTAAAATAAGATATTCAGAAGTGGCTTGAGTTGGCCATAAACAACCTGACATGAATGCTGGGTTGACGGTTATGCATTGCTTTTACATTGCTACAAATTCCCTTGAGCATACTTGCAAAAAAATAAAAATAAAGCTCCAGCCCTATACAGAGTTACTTTTAACTTTTAACACTGAATTTAGGGAGCTTACCTCTTGAGTAAACATGCACGACATCACACTTCCATCTATTAAATAAAGCTGCAGTCCTAAATATATTTACTAAGGACAGGACCATAATAGTTATCACTGGACACCAATACTTATTTCAGAAAAACCATGCATATAATTGCACTGTTGCTGGACCCACCTCAACTTTTTGAGGGGCCCCATTTGCTGCTCCCCTTCTCACTACATTTGTTCCTCTGGCCCTGCACTAAAACCACATGCAGAGTGCTATCCTGTTTATGTTCACTCAGAAGTAAGCCCAACTATGTTCAGACACACTTACCTATTAGTAAGTCCCATTGAACTCAGTGGGGCTTACTTCTGAGTAAGCATGTATTGCATTGTGAAAACATTGGCAGTATTGATAGACAATTTCCTTTCTGTTTCCATAGCATTCGCCTATCCATTCTTAAGGAAATCAGCCTTGAGCGCTCACTGGAAGGACAGATCGTGAAGCTGAGGCTCCAATACTTTGGCCACCTCATGAGAAGAGAAGACTCCCTGGAAAAGACCCTGATGCTGGGAAAGATGGAGGGCACAAGGAGAAGGGGACGACAGAGGACGAGATGGTTGGACATTCTCAAAGCTACCAGCATGAATTTGACCAAACTGCAGGAGGCAGTGGAAGACAGGAGGGCCTGGCGTGCTCTGGCAATAAACCATGGGGTCACGAAGAGTCGGACATGACTAAACGACTAAACAACAACAACAATATGGCCACTCTGGGCAAACTAATGACTGCCTCCCTTCTTGCCTGTATTTTGGCAAAGAAGGATGGCTTGATCATCTCCACTTGACTGGCTGCTGCAGAAGCTGGCAAATAACTTCATTGGAAGCCATGTTCCATGCAAATGTAAGGTAAGCATTACACTTACCAAGAGCATGCAAAACTGAGTTCTTTCCGAGGTGGAAAGAAGCTAGCAAAAATACCTATTGCAAATGGGCAAAGACAGCACTGAGCAAACATCAAAAGGTGAATATAACAAAGCCTGCTTCTTTGCAGGAACTATTTTCATACAATCTTAACCGTTTTGGACCTGTCAGAAAAGAATCATAGAATTGCAGAGTTTGAAGGATCATCTAATAACAGATCACCACCAGCCAGGTCCCACAACTTCAACATTAAGCTTTCATTTCACCCAAACACATCAAATTCAGTGCTAGGCAGTGTGGCAAATGGTGATTCATTAGTTTATGAGATGATCATTCATAAACTTGAGATAATAACGTTAAATTAAATCATTCTTTAATTTATGGGAAATAATATTCCTACCTCATAAATCCAGGAGAATTGCTTTATCTCAAATGTGCTGGTAAAGATGTGCACATGTCTCATCCCCCTGACACTTATATTAGCTCATCATCATGGCAGAGACCTCTCAAAATAACTCCCCAGAATGATAGCTTTGGGGCTGGCACAGAAGATAAATCTAGTAGCTGTAAAGTTAGAGGTCAGGGAATTGATGTTATAGGTTTGAAAGGAGCAGACATGCACTCCAAAATGCTTGCTTAATTTCATAGGCGCAAGACAAAATGTGCCCGAAATGATTTCTTATTTCCCCATCGGAAGGTGCCAGCCTTATTCCAAACGCCTGCTGGGTTGCTTTATTAGTCTTAATCAAGTCCCACCTCGTGCCAGTAATTCAAGAGGCCAGAGAACTCAAAATCATCTTGCCGCTAGCTGTACAAGATGCTTTGTTCTATGCCTTTGAAGGCTTATGTTCTAATCACCTATAGATGCTGAATCCGAAATCTTTAATGCCCAAGGGATGCCCTTGAGGTCCTAGTGGCCTGGGGGAGCCAAAACAATATCTCCTAAAATATTAATAACCCAGAGGTGCAATTTCCTATTTTCCTTAGTCAGCAGTTTTTGGGGGACTAGATTGGACCATTTGGTGCCTTATCAGACCATTTGGTCCATCTCAGTATTTATATGGTACTGATGGGCAGTAGCTCTCCAGAATTGTATCCAGGAATCTCCCAGCCCCACCTGGGGATTGAGCCCACCTTTGCTTACCCAACTGCATATCTCATTACTACTACTGCTGTGGTGCTGCCAAAGTAGGACTTCAGGGAAGAAGTCCAGAGCTCCCAGACACAACAGGGCTGGCTTTCCATACAATTCAGTCCAGTTCTACTGTTACCTAGTTATAGTGTTCATCTCCTAGCTCGTTTTATTTTATGGCATCTTTGCATTCTTCTTGTAAGTTGCTTTGAGACATTTTTTTTCCTGTAAAAAGTGATTAATAAATGTAATAAATAAAACAAAAACTCATTTAATAACTGAAGAAGGGAGTAAGCACGACAGTGAAGGGGATATTTGCACATATATATATATATATGAATGACTGTGAGAAACTTAGGCAGACATCTGAATATTAAGTTGGTCCATGAATATCTTTCCATGAAGGTCATTGGTAATTACTGCAGCCCTCCAGCTGTGATCATTTATTCAGTTAAAAAATATAGTCTTTCACAGATGTTTAGCAATCATTTCGAAACACTAGGTCATGTTGTACATTTGCAACAAATTAATATTACGGCGAAGGATTGGTTAATCATCTCTACTGGGCACTCAAGGGGTATGACAAAAATGTCAACTAAAATGTTACAATTATATTGATTGATTGGCATTCTAATAATTTTAAGTGGAGAATAGCCTAGTATTTTATGTACAAAAATTATTCATTTTCCTTTCATAAAAAGGGACTTTTTACAGCTGGATTTCAAGACATCGCTTCCCAGCGGTGGGTGTCATCCAGCCAAGATAAAGTGTTGCAAGTCCGGTTCTTTTAAAATTTAAAAATTGCAGAGAGTTAAGCATGCACTTAGCTATACAACTGAAATGTGGGATGAAATGTGCTGAACAGCTGGGATCTTCCTTTGTTTTAAGAAACTGTATTCCGTATTTGAATATCTCTGTTACTAGGCTGACATTCATTTTCACTCATTTAATGTAGACTTCTTTCCATTACTATTGCAAGGGTTCAAGCCAATCTTCAATATAGCCTATTTTTTTAATTTTAATTTTTGTACAAACTACATATGATAGAGTGTTATGTAGATTTTTCCCGGATGTCTCGGTGTCAGAGTCCTCCTCGTACAGTTTCTCAACTACAAGGTTTAACACAGAGAATCAGCGTTCTGGTCTTCAGTACATTACAGTTGAACTCCTGAACCCGGTGACATTGAATAGTAATCTGTAAGATTGTATTTATCTCTCTTCAAGATTCATCTGAGACTGAATATATGTGTGTGTATACACACACACACACACGGTATATATTCTTTAAGCTCATGTTATTTTGAGTTATAGTATGTGTTGCATTGAGATATTTAGTGTACAATGTACCCTTATTTCATATACAGAGCTGTGCTCGATGAGGTTCTAGCCTAGATAACAAAAGCTTTCCCCAAAAGGAAGTGCTTTGTGGGGAGGGGGGGATGAAGCAAAATAGCTCGACAGACACAACTCCCTTGAGATGTGGTAGAAGTAGGGCACTCCCATCAATGTTTTCTGTTCTTGCCCAGTGCTGAACTAGGCTCAAAAATAGTGAAATTGCTCCTGATTGAACAGAATGAGGAACGGGAATGGACATTGTCTAGTGTTTTGAAATGCGATTCACATGTAAATGTATGTTTTAAAAAGCAGACCTAGGGTGTAATCCTATCCTTTGGATACATTAGCCGAGTAGTCCTTGGAAGTGATTGGAAGTGCCAGTAGACATGGAGCTAAGAGTGGGAAAAGATGTCTGTTGCCAACCTGCACAGCCCTGGAAGGCTTGAAGCTGCAGGGAAGGACCATAGCTGAGTGGTAGGGAATCTGCTTTGCATGCAGATGGGCCCAGGTTCAATCCCTAACGTCCCTAGGGATGGGAATGCCCCCTACCTGAAACCCTGGAAAGCCACTGCTGTCCTGGGCTAGATGGACCATTAGCCCATCTAACCATCCAACCCAGCTGCAGAGCAACCAAGAACAAGGTGTTTTGTGGGCAGAACAGGGGTGGCACAGGGGAGGAGCACACCTGCTAACTGCCCACTTGGTTGCATGGACACAGCCATGAATACCTGGGCAATCTACACCAAAGAACAATCAAGCAAAAAATTACTCCTCTCCCATGGACTTGAATAGGAGGGATCGGGGTCAAATGAGGAATGCCCCCACTGTCTCCTGCAATACTTTTTCTGTGTTTTCCATCTTCCCTTGTGAGATGGGGGTAGCTTGGATGCAAAGACTGGGGAGGTGAATCTCAGAACCGGAGGATTCCTGGCCATAGGACTGCTTGTTCCCTCAGTTATATTAGAAACCCTAGTGTGCTGCCTCTGAGCTATGCAATGCAAATAAGCAGGACCACTGTAAATGGTAGATATTCATATCAAAGCACAGTAAGCCATTTTCTTCTTTTTTTACTACTACTACTATTATCAGGCATTTGTTAATCTTAACAAAAACAGGCTTTCATTTATCAGCTTATTTAGCTTCATGTTAAAGTACTCAACAATGACTTAAATGAAATAAAGCACAAGGTAATTTGCTTAAAAATGAACTCATTGTCATATAGTTAATAGAAATAGTTTCTTATTCATGCATCATTAATATTTTATGCTTGTTAAAAAAAAGTAGTCTAATTTTAATGTGCCCTTTTGCTAGGCAGTAATGGAAGTTTTGATGGGTCATAAAGCAATGATTGAAGATTCAAAGCATATTCCTATGGTCAGAGCCACATTCCAAGCACATTGGTTTTCCTCCTCCTCATACTTCCAAGACTATTTATATTGTACATGACTCCCAATTATAATCCACTTCTGTTAGTGATTGTGTGTGTGTGTGTGTGTGTGTGTGTGTGTGTGAGAGAGAGAGAGAGAGAGAGAGAGAATCTGCATGACTTATGCCTTGACTTGATTGAAGAAGATGATGATCAGTTATATGGCTAATATTTACTGTGCATTATACACTTCAACCTATTTTACCAAATGTGGAGCCGAGTCCTGCAATAATTTGATTGTTTACTTTTGTGTTTTGTTAAACTCAGTGCTTCAGTGCATGGACATACATTGGACACTGTTCTGCAATACTGTGGTACCTTGGGTTAAGTACTTAATTCTTTCCGGAGGTCCGTTCTTAACCTGAAACTGTTCTTAACCTGAAGCACCACTTTGGCTAATGGGGCCTCCTGCTGCCACCGCGCCGCCGGAGCACGATTTCTGTTCTCATCCTGAAGCAAAGTTCTTAACTCAAGGTACTATTTCTGGGTTAGCGGAGTCTGTAACCTGAAGCGTATGTAACCTGAAGTGTAGGTAACCCGAGGTACCACTGTACTTTGTGAAAATTAGGCACGCTTAAGTCCCAACTAAATCAAGGGCACTAAAGCTGCAATCCTACACACTTGGGAGTATCCTACTAAGCACAGAAGGGTTTTGATCTGAACGAGCACACTGTATATTTCAAGGTTTCATTGATTTCAGTGTAATTTCAGCACACCTCGTTTTCAGTGGCTTGCACCCAATAGTTGCTGCCATGGGGTTTATTTAGGGGTTCAGTAACTAGGGTGCGTGCATGGGTGTCCATTGTCTAGGATGCATTCATAATAGCCAGATATTGGGAAACATCATGACAAGGGATGATCTCTTGCAAGAGACGGCTGTTTAGGTGTGTTTAAGACAGGTAAAAATTATCACCCATTTTGCAGAAAAGTACACACTGGCCTGCTAAACAATAGAAGGATGAAGGAAATTGGCTGCTGTTTAGATCATTCGTATGTAGTGTACTACTGTAATCAAAATGTATATTCTGTTGAACAATTTGCAGGTGCTAGATAATTAAGATAAAGTGAAATGTAATGTTAAGCTAACACCCTTCATGTGTCATGTTGTCTACAAGATTTCTGGAACACTTATGAAGGAATAGAACATAGAAGTTGTTTTTGTTTAAATGCAGTTTGTTTATGGCCTTTTTGTCTACCCCTCTGTCTTATTGGAGGCAGAATAAATTATGCCTGTTATCTTGAGTAATTACTCGCTAAGATTTGTATTTAACAACATTTGCATTCAGGTTTTGATTACTACTCTAAATAGAGTAATTTTTCAGTATATTTATACTTTAATGCATATTTTATGTTAGAGTTAAAATATGTGATTACTAGTTCATAACAACTAAAAGCTTTCAAAATATTTTAAAGGCACTGTTCAAGCACAAAAACTTCTAAATATATGGTGGAAGTATTCACTAGCGAGGATTTTATGTCATTTTGCAAGTGCACCAATGAATTAAAGCACAATTTCTGGTCCATTAATATCTGATCTGGTCATATTTATTTTTGTTTTATCTGAAAAGCAATGTTTAGTCTGAAGCTAAGTAGCTGTTTTAATCAAATGTTTCATGCTTTTACTTAGTGTGTGATTGCTAAGAGAATACCACAATTTCAATGGTATAGTCAAATGCATATATCTATATAAATACATTTGCCCTTGTCTTGCAAGATGCTGAGTATACATGCATTTTTCTCTGTAGGGCTTTATCTAGAAGAAACTCAACAACAATAGGCCGGTAATAAGGCAGGGTGGAGAATTAGTAAGCAAGCATCAAACTCATGTATAAGAAACATTTACCCTCTAGACTGACATGGAGAATCTCAGATCTGGGCATAGCTGTCAAGCATCCCTTATTTGAAGGGACAGTCCCTTATTCCAGCGCCATGTCCCACTGCTGTCCCTTACTGATGGATGTCCCTTAGATGATGTCCCTTAAATTTCAAAGGAAGCAGCTCCTCTCCCTCCCTCCCTGCCGGCCAGGGAGGAGGGAGGCTCCAATTGTGTTGCTTGGCTGTGTTGCTCACCCAATAAGAAGTCTAAGAACAACTGGGGGGTGGAGCTTGCATGCCTTGTGCTGATCAAATCGGCTGTGTTCCCTGGGGACTCGCCTTTGCTCAGCGCTTCCCAGTGGAGAGGTGACGGTGGTTTTCCTTGAGGCTTTGTTTGGCTGCTGGCTGGGCTTTCTGCCTTTGGCTCAGAGGGGCTCAGAAGTTGAACATACCTGTGCTGAGTGCTCGGATCAGAATCAGATTTATAAGTCATCGACGGCCCACTCACCTTTGCCGGCGAAAAGGTCTGTCTGGAGCGGGGGCACATGGTGGGGGAAAAGGAAAGGAGATCTTGGGGGGGGGGGCTTTTGAATTTGTTTTGGAGGCTCCTTCGATTGACTTATGGGAAAAAGAAAGGAGCTGGTTGACTAAAATGGTGGGTGACTGGCGATCTTGTGGTGGGGGGGGGAGGCTGTGTGTATGTGGCTAGTTAATGCAAGCTGAGGGGTTTTTTGAATGCTGGACGCCATTTTGTTGCACGTGCTGCTGCAAACTTTGCAGTGCAAAGCCAGGCCGGGGAGCCATCTTAAGTTGAGGCTGCATAGGCCTTGTGGTGCATGTGATTCAGATTCTGTTCAGTTGAACCTCTGGTTACAAAGTTGGTTGGACAGTGTTCTCAAAGCTACCAGCATGAGTTTGACCAGACTGCAGGAGGACAGGAAGACTGGAGTGCCTGGAACAGGTGAGGCTGCAGGTCCCTTATTTTGGCTGCTGATCCCTTATTTTCAAGGCTGCTGGTCACTTATTTTCAAATCTGTAAGTTGACAGCTATGGATCTGGGGACCAATTACGACCCTTCAAATTACTCTGTCTGGTCCTCAGCACTTGCTCCAGCCACACCCTCTTTCCAGGCCATGCCCCACATCAACCCTACTTTGCAGCTTCCTTGGGTGGTTTTCCCTGACTGGAATGTGACTTTGAACTGTGATAATACTTCATTTGTCTAGATGTCTGTTAAAGAGAAGTGTGGGAGTGTATCTAACAAGCCTCAGTTGGTCGCTGGTCTTTGCTGCTATCCTCATTATTCTCAAGAGAAGCACTTCTATCAGAACACAGTGTAAACATTCTTTAAAATGCATGACTGCTTTCTGGAGCTTCTGGAAAAGAACTGATGGTTAAGAGGAAGTCAGGAGCATGGAAAGGGGAGTACCGTAGAAGTTTGATTCACCTACAGGGAACAGATTGATTCAACAGGCCCACTTTCCAAGTAGACTAATTTGGAGTCATATTTTCCTGACCATTATCAGATTATCCTCAGATTAGGGAAATCCAAATTCACAGAGTGGAAGACCTTCAGTCTGAGGTGGAGGTCGCATGGATGAGGTGTATGCACAATAAACTCTAGTGTGGACAAGCCCATAGTTGCACCACTAGCTATGTAACATTAGGCACTCTTGACATGGTGGTTCCAGACAAATCCTGTTGTTATTATTATTATTAAATCCCTATTTTCATCAGTGTGCTAAGATATGAGCAGATGAACCTTTTGGCAATTCAGTCCCAAGTCATTTAGTCCTTTAAAGACCATCACCAGCACTGTAAATTGGGCTTAGAAACACATTGGCAACTATTGCAAACTAATACAACACAGATATCATCTGTTCTTCTGACCAAGAGTTAAGCTGCCACATTTTGTTCCACTTGGAATTTCCACGTTCTTTTTTTAAGGCAGCCCCATGAGAACTGTACTGGTGGCTAAAAGCAGCCAGCAAAACCAAGCCCCTTCCGTTCTTTTCCTCCTTCCTCTGTAGGGAAACACAGTCAGCGCCATTTTCCCATTTAGATGCTACGACTCCCATCTATTTCCCGGTGCGCCATGCACGTCTTAGAAAATCATACTGTAGAATTGGAAGGGGGCCAGGACAGTCATCTAGTCCAACCCCCACAGTACAGGAATGCTTTGCCCAACATGGGGGCTCAAACCCACATACCCTCCAACATTTCTCTGATGAAAATAGGGACGCCCCATTCCAATTTTACTATTTATACCCCACACAACTTTACTGGGTTGCCCTAGCCACTCTGGGTAGCTTCCAACATATATAAATGCATAATAAAACATGAAACTTTTTAAAAAATAAAAGTCTTCCCTATACAGGATTGCCTTCACATGGCTCGGGGATTGGATAACTGCATACCCTCCAACATTTCTCCAATGAAAATAGGGACACCCTATTCCAGACCCTTCCAGGAAAATAGGGACGTTGCAAAATACGGTCTGAAGCTCAACATCAAAAAAACGAAGATCATGGCCACTGGGCCCATCACCTCCTGGCAAATAGAAAGGGAAGAAATGGAGGCACTGAGAGATTTTACTTTCTTGGGCTCCATGATCACTGCAGATGGTGACAGCAGTCACAAAATTAAAAGACGCCTGCTTCTTGGGAGGAAAGCAATGGCAAACCTAGACAGCATCTTAAAAAGCAGAGACATCACCTTGCCAACAAAGGTCCGTATAGTTAAAGCTATGGTTTTCCCAGTAGTGATGTATGGAAGTGAGAGCTGGACCATAAAGAAGGCTGATCGCCAAAGAATTGATGCTTTTGAATTATGGAGCTGGAGGAGACTCTTGAGAGTCCCATGGACTGATCAAGAAGATCAAACCTATCCATTCCAGTGGCGTAGCGTGGGGGGTGCCGGCCGCACCGGGCGCAACATCTGGAGATTAGGGTTAGGGGGCGCAAATCCACGGGTTAGGGGGCGCAAATTACTTGCCTTGCCCCGGGTGCTGACAACCCACGCTACGCCACTGATCCATTCTGAAGGAAATCAGCCCTGAGTGTCTTGAGCTGCCTCGAACGCCCTTCTCTGTAGAATATCATTTTATTTTATTTTTTTAAGTCTTTCTCTGTAAGCTCGAGGTCTGGGAACAGCCACAACTTCCTGCAGCTGATTTGGAACTCGAGGGAGGGAGAGAAGAACTGAACGAGCCCTGAAGACAAAGGCTATTCCGAAGCCTTAGCCACGCCCACCAACCTTACGTCGCGACGAACGTTCCGACGCAGCTGGGAGGGAGGGGAGAGAGAAGCGCCGGCGAGCCTTAAACCGGGGGAAGGCCGAGCGAATCGCTCGAAGGCGCGAGCGACGCTCTCCGCGAGCGACGAGCTTGCGTCACCCGGATGAGGAGAGAGCGGGGAGGCGGGTCGTTGGTGCTGGTGCGCAGTTGGTGCTTTCCAGCTCCTGAGCCGAAACCGCCGCCGCGATGATGGCCGCGGAGAGCCCTTCCTCCTACCCGAGGACGTCCATCGAGGACGATTTCAACTACGGCACGAATGTGGCCACTGCCAGCGTCCACATCCGCATGGGTAAAAAAGGAAAAAAGGGGGGCGGCGTCCTGCTCCTTTGCCTCCTCCAGGTCTCTGCCCCGCTCCCTCTCCAGGCATCGCCCTGCTAACTAGTCCGGTCCCCCCCCCCCACTCTGGTTTTGAAGGGTCAGGATTCGACCCGTTTGCTTCCTGGAGCCGAGCCTGTCGCAGCTTTTAAGGGCGCAGGACGAAACCAGAGAAAGAAGGCGTCATCGCCGCGGTGCTTTTAATTTCGTTTTCTATCCCACCCCTTTTCTCCCAAGGTGTCACGGCGGTGTAAACATGGTTCGTCTCCGCCCCTCCCCCACCATGTAACCCCTACAACAATCCTGCCAGGTAGGGTGAGGCTGAGAGGCAAGGTTTTAGTCCGACACTAACCTTCATGATACACCTTTAGGTGCCAGGCAAAAAAACCTGTTCTTTTCTAACCAGGCCTTTGGTTGACTTGATTGACATCCTATTCCCTTTTAAAATGTGGGGGTTTTTTGCGGGGGGTGTTATTGGGTTGTTGTTTTGATTATATATCCTGCGGTTTTGTATTTCGATTTTGTCCTGTGAACCGCCCTGAGACCTCAGAGTATAGGGTGGTATATAAATTCAGTAAATAATAATAACCACTGCACCACCCTGGCTTCCAGACAGGGCTTTGGCAGCATCGCCCCGATGCACACACTAAGGTAGAAGCAAAGATAAAAAGACACTTTAAAAAAAACAAAGTTAAAAAGGCAGAGAAAAACTATTTGAGTCTGTCTTTTTGTCTCTCTCACACGCACATCCCGTGTGCTGATAATCCTTATTAATTAGGTGGCAAAGGATAAACCATCCTACTGTCTCCAAATTGCAGATTATTGGGGTTCACAGGATCAAATTGAAATCACAAAATGTATAATGAAAATAAAAACAGAAACAACCCAATAACCACTGCCCCCCACCCACCCATTTTAAAAGGGCATTGAATGGCAGTCAACCAAAGACCTGGTTAAAGAGGAATGTTTTTGCCTGGCACCTAAAGGTGTGTAATGAAGGCGCCAGGCAAACCTCCCTGGAGAAAGCATTCCACAGACAGGGAGCCACTGCAGAAAAGGCCTGTTCTCATGTTGCCACCTTCCGAACCTCTCAAGGAGGAGGCACATGAAGAAGAGTCTCAGAAGATGATCTCTGGGTCTGGGTAGGTTCATATGGAAGGAGGCAGTCCTGAGTCGTTTAAAGCTTTATAGGTCAAAACCAGCACTTTGAATTGGGCCTGGAAACTAATTGGTAGCCAGTGCAGTCAGACCAGGATCAGTTTAATATGCTCAAACCGTCTTGCCGCGGTGAGCAACCTGGCTGCTGACTTCTGCACTAACTGAAGTTTCCAAACCATCTTCAGAGGCAGCCCTATGTGTAACGCATTGCTGTAATCTAACCTTGAGGTTACCAGGGTATAGATGACAGTAGTTAGGCTATCCTTATCCAGATAAGGGCATAGCTGGGCCACCAACTGAAGCTGATGGGAGGCACTCCACACCACTGAGGCCACCTGAGCCTTGAGCGACAGCAAAGTATCCAGGAGTACCCCCAAGCTATGAACCTGCTCCTTCAGAGGAAATGTAACCTCCTAGCCATCCGGTCTAGGGAACCACCCACTAACAGTGCCTCAACCTTACCTGGATTGAGTCTGTTTGTTGGCTCTCATCCAGTTCATTATCGAGGGAAGACACCGGTCCAGCACTTCCACTGCCTCACCTGCAGATGTAAAGGAGAAATAGAGCTGAGTGTTATCAGCATACTGCTGACAACGTATTTTCGTTGTCACTTGGTGAAAAGGGTGGGGAAAGCTGCATCTACTTTAAGAAAATGTGTTTCCAGATGCTGCTAAAATTGCAGGAGTAGGACTAGTAAAAATGATGTTGACTCTGCAAGGAATTGTTACATCTTTGAATGAGCTGCAAATCCAGCAATGGTCTTTGTACAGGTATTATTTGTTCTGTGGCAATGTGAGTGCCCACTGTGAATGTATGGATGGAAGGCAGAAGGAGAATGCTGTAATAATTCATTGGCCAGCAACAAACATTTCAGGCAAACATATCCTCTTGATTTGGTTTCATTTACCGTCCATTGTCTTGTTTGCGCAGTTCAGTGCTTACTTGGGCTACTCATGTATTCCCTGATGCATAACTTTGGCAATGCTACTAAACAAACAGGATGTTAACCTATTGCTGCCCTTTGAGGAACCACTTGTTCATTCTAATGAGTACAATTTATTCACTATTACACTATTTTTTGTTTTTGTTTCTATGCTTCATTAAAAAGATGCACTAGTTTTTTATTAATCATCTGATTCGAGGTAAAGCAAGAATTAAACTATGTTAATATGCTGTCTTATTTCCCATCTCTTAGCATTTCTGCGCAAAGTCTACAGCATTCTTTCAGTTCAAATTTTCTTGACTACGGTGACCTCTGCAGCTTTTCTGTACTCTGAGACAATTCGGACATTTGTGCATGAAAGGTTAGACCCTTTTGATGAATACAGTTGCACTGTATTTCCCCCACATTTCAATGTATAATAAATTTTAGACAGGATACTGTTTGATGTAATAATAGGTTTCAGGGAATTTTGCTGGCGTCATTGGTTCTCAAGCATGGTTCTCTTCTGTATGTTGCTTGCTACTGTGAGATAACAATGATTTATTTATTATTAAACATCTTAGTCCAAAGGGTCTCCAAGCAACTTGCATTGAATTTTTTTAAAATAAATACATTATACCATAGAAAGGGGGAGAGGTCATATAACTCAATACTATTGCATGCAACATATTGGGAAAACAAAACACCAGCTCCTTCCCATAACAGTAATAGAAAAGCATTAGCAGTATGTGAAGAGTATGCAAAACAATACTGGTATCCACTAACTAGAAGAGAAAAATTAAAACAACACCGATAAACCTCTCCCTGACCCAAAAATAATTCCCATCAACCTGCCATTTTAAAAAAAAAATGTAACAACTACACCAATAAGTCTGCTGTAACTCAGGGGTGGGTGGGTCTCTGTATTTCGTGTATATAATGATGCTTGTTAAAGGCACTTGAGCAGGGTCAATAAAAGATGACAACAGTACAACTGGTGGATGTAGCTGTGCTACTGCTAAGCATAATAAGCAGCATTTATATAGGTGTGTTAAATTGTTCAAAGCAGGTTGCATTACCTTGGTCACCCTTAATACAACCCTTTATTGTTACCATATTGTAGATGGAGGACTAAGGCGGAGAGAGATGATATTTTTCTTCCCCTCAGATGTGTTCCTGAATGAAGCTCATCTGCTTTCTGTCATAGAATTTATACAGAAATAAATTGCTACCAAGAGCATGACTATTTATTTGAGGGTTTCATACGCTTGAAATATTGGTGACTTTGTAACTATAGATGTCTTAATTTCATACAACCAGAAGAGAGGTGTCTGACCTTCATTGCAGATATATTAAATTTTTTTAGACATGTATCCAATAGACTCTTACTTTTTTTTTTACATTAAAACAAAAGGAGCTAAAAAGCCAGCAAATTAATGTTGACTGTGTTCTCTGTTAAATCTCACAGCCCAGCTGTACTCCTGGTATCCGTGCTTGGTTCCCTGGTTGTGATTGTGGCATTAACTTTGTACAGACATCAGCATCCACTTAATTTATATCTTCTCTTTGGCTTTGTAAGTATTTCCAAAGCTTACTTTCTTCCTTACTGCTTTGTGGAGACTTTTTAAAAAGTTGCAGATAATTTGTTCACCTAGTAGCCTTTCTGTTAAGATTGCTTTTCAAAGAGTGAAGTAGGTCTGTAAAATACGCACTGTACCTTCTGAAAATTGACGTACACTCAGTTTCCTCTGTGTGCTCAGAAAAGTGCAATAGTGTGAATTCAGGAAGACAGTGGGTTGCATCTAACAATGGAGTTCTCCTTGTGCAATGCAACTTCTCTGTCCCCTCCTCCGCTTGTGTACCCCCCAATTCTGCCCTAAAGGGCCCCTTCAAAACTTTGTCCAATGAGCATGAAGGCTGGAGGGTTTTTAAGTATGTTCAATTGAATGCACTTAGATATTCTCTCCATAATTTGAAACCCTGATAAAACATGGTTCTTCTTCAAGTTTTCCAAGTTGCTTTAAAACTTTCTTTACGCCTTTGTAGTAATTGCCCCCAAATCCAATGAGCAGCGCCAGTGCCCGGCCCTGTTCCTACTTTAACCCTGTGTTTTCACACAAATGCTTTTAACACAGCTAGTGTTCAGTGCCCAATTGCTTATAAAGCACTGTCTGCTTCTGTGGTGGTTGGTGCGATCTCTAGGAAGTGGAAGGTATATAAAGGCATGCCACTTTTCCTTAATCCAAATAGGTTTATCTTGAACTAAACATATTACTCGACTGACATGCATAGAACCCAGTCTAATGACTGTTGCATGCACATCCTGGCTGCACAAGCTGACCATTCCAATTTCTTCAGTGTCTGATAGAGTGCTGCCGTACACAGGGTGCCCTTTGGCTAGAGATTGCTGAGTGGAGCTGCCTTAATGTTGGCTTTAGATGATAATTCTTTCATTTTATTTTTCGCAGACCCTTCTTGAAGCACTGACTGTTGCTATTACAGGTATGCATTCACCCTTATCATATAGATAGAAATAGAAAGGAAGAAGCCCTATTTTATGATTTGTTACTGCTTGCTGAAAGGTGATTGACAGTACAGAAGCCAGATTTGATGTCTCTTCTGTTATACATTCTCTTCCAACCAAAAATGAACAAGAAAAAATAGAGAAATGCAAATATAATTAAAAGAACAGAGACTGTACCCTAGAAGTATGGACGTCTGCCTATTATTCTTTCATTATATTCTATAGAAATTAGCATGCTTATTCTTGGGATTAGCACTGTAATCGTAGGTGTCTCATTGCCTGGAATATAGGTATGCTTAGCTGTTGTCAAATGGAGCTGATAATTTTTTTTCTTAATGTGAGCACGATGCCTGCATTGATTTAGTTTGAGGTAACAATGCCAAATGTTTGATAAAGATTTTAATTTACCTTTCCTTGTTTCTCCCCATAGTGACTTTCTATGAAGTATCTGTTGTTCTGCAAGCCTTTATCTTAACGACGGCTGTCTTTTTTGCTCTCACTTTGTACACTTTGCAGTCCAAAAGAGATTTCAGCAAAGTTGGAGCAGGGTAAGTTACTTTCCTATACACGCACACAAACACACACAGTATATATACATCCATGTATAAGAGGATATAGTGGCAAAAATTGGGGGAGTTTCTATAACCACCCTGCAAAAAACAGCAACATTTGCTTACTCATAGAGGTGAACAAATGACTGTGTCACTTAATATACAGTGGTGGCCATTTCTGTAGAGAGTTGCTGTTGGAAAAACACGGGGCAGCTGAATTGATAAAGTGTGTGCACAAAGTAAAATCCGAGGGGGCGGGGTCAGTGTGACTTGTCATGACTGAAACGGTGATAGCGAGTATCACAATGCGAATGTATGTTCTATAATAGGCGTGTATGTAACTAAGATGAAAGCATAGTTTAAGAAGAAAGTCACTAACCTATTAATGTGTGTTCACAGGCTGTTTGCTTGCTTATGGATTCTTCTTCTATCAAGCTTTCTAAGGGTAAGAGGTCACACCTTGTTGTTGTTATTGAAAACATCACTGGATAATTTAAAAGGGGGGGAGGGTAGGTTTATGCTAGGGCTGTGCCCCCCATCTAATTTGAGGTCCTTATGACTCAGGGGCTCCTTGTAGTAGTAAAGGAGTTCACTGTAACATGTATTGTTATTCCTCAGTTTGAAATGGGTGACGTAGGAAGTTTAATACAGTTTTTAAACTAAAAAATATACTTAGTTCAGTGGTTACAGTTTATATGTTTTAAAACTGGACTTCTGCTGTATTGGATTTGTCTTAAGCTCAACAATACTTAAACCACGGTTTGCAAGCCCAGTTAAAAATACGATTTCTAAATTTTTGAATGATGACTGAACTGACCGAGTGTAAACTCATTCCACCAAGATCAGATACAAAACCACAGTTCATTTGCGGTGTGCTTCTAGGCATGTTTTTGTAACATGTAACATAAATCAAGGATGCAGTCCTATACACACTTAACTGGGTATTAAGCCTCCTTGAGCATAATGGGGCTAAGTTCTGAGTAAACTTGCATGGGGTTGCAGCAGAATTACTTAGCGTTTTACTCCAGTATTTTAATCTGTTTTCTTTTGAAGCCACCATAAGACCTCTGTGGTGCAATGGGTAGGTGCATCAGGTTGTTAATCAGAAGGCTGGTGGATCAAGCCCACCAGGGACAGCTGTGGGCCAAATTCCTGCATTGCAGGGGGTTGGGAAAGATGATCCTTGGGGTCTCTTCCAATTCTACAATTCCATGATTTGAATACAAAGTAGGAAAAACCAGTGCACATCACATGGTCTGTGTGTTGTGCTATGGACATGTTAATACAATTTAAAGAGCTTAGATGTTTTCATCTTGACAAAAGTAAAAACGGCATCAGTATAAATTGCCAAATAAAGCATTTAATGAGAAAATCCCAAGATCTGCGACTATAGTATGGGAGATCTTTTTTTAGAGAACTAACGTAAGAGAGACAGATGGTAGAACTCAAATGTTTTGAAGAATGCAGTTCAAAACATCTTTTCAGAATAACGCAGACGCAAAATGCCCAGCCCTTGCCAAAACCTTTCAGGATAGCAATGTGTTCAAGAAAATAGATATAATAATAATAATAATAATAATAGCCAATCAACAATCTTAACAGCTATATAGGGATTGGGACCAGAGATCCCTGTCTGGCTATTCTGAAGGGAATTCAGTTTTGTCATCTCAAAAGAGCAGTTCTACAGCAGCAGGAGGAAGGAATATGTGGTCCTCCATGTGTTGCTGGCCTCCAACTCCCATCCACCCCAACCAGCATGGCCAGTAGTCAGAGATGATGGGAGTTGCTGTACTGCATCTGGAGGCACAGGTTCCTAACTCCTGTCAAATAATGAAAGTCATAGAAGACATGACAAGGTCTGCCAATGTTAGGGTTGCCGTGTGTCCTCTTTTTTCAGGGGTAAAATTTCTGTCTGGGTGGATTTTTAAAATTTGCCAAATTATCTCTGGCTATACCTTCTGGATGAGACATAGACTTCCCTCTTCTCTTCTCCTGCCCTCCTCAGCAATGTATCACAGCTTCTATAGCCCACATATAGTAGGGGTATTTAAAATTAGAGTCGCCATAGCGTCTTCTCTTTTTTATTTATTTTTTATTTTTTGGCTCTTCAAAATATGGCAACCGTAACAATGATAAGATATGGAAAGCACTAAAGACTCAGGAACGACTAGAAAATGGTATGTTGCGCATACAGTCATACCTTGGTTTGCAAACAACTTAGTTGTTGAGCAAATTGGCTCTCAAACGCCGGAAATCCGGAAGTGTTCCGGTTTTTGAACATTTTTTCAGAAGCCAAACATCTGACACGGATTCTGCTTGAGTGCAGGAAGCTCTTGCAGCCAATTGGAAGCTGCGTCTTGGTTTTCAAACGTTTTGGGAGTCAGACGGACTCCCGGAACGAATTAAGTTTGAGAACCAAGCTACCACTGTATACAGCTTATTCGTAAGCAAGAAAAATATATTAGTGGCCATATTCAACTAAATCACTGCACGAGCAGAAATCAGGGCAATGGTGCTTGCTAGTACAACATGAATTTCACCCCTCCTCCTGCACCCCGCTCTTCAGATCGGCTCCAGAGGGTCAGAAGAACCTGCAGAACATCATGAGAGGGGAGGGGAGATTGTTCTGTAAGGCAAGCAGAAAAGCTTGTACTAAGGGAATAACCTCCTTAGCATTACATTGACTACAACCATTCAGCTTTAATTATAGTTCCATTATGGTCAAATCTATTTTTTTGGTGTGCTTTTATGAAAGACATTTGCACAAAACCTCTCTCTGTGTTCTTTGGTTACAGCTTTTTTTCTACAGTGAAGTATTAGAGGTAGTACTAGCTGCTGGAGGAGCACTTCTGTTCTGTGGATTTATCATCTACGACACTCATCTGCTAATGCACAAACTCTCCCCTGAAGAATACATATTGGCTTCAATCAACCTCTATTTGGACATCATCAATCTGTTTCTACACCTGCTGCGTTTGCTAGAAGCATTTAATAAAAAGTAATTGGGAGTTGTTAGAATTCCTGAGATAATTTGGATGTAGCATCAAAAAAGTTATTAAGACCTAGGAAATCTGCAGAATGCTCTGAGATTGGAGCTTGTTTTTACATTCCACTGTGCTTTCAGTGTTTCCTGTATAAAGGGTGTTTTAGAGAACTGGTGTTTATGATTCTATTCTGAGATCAGTTAATTACATATTGCAGTCATCTTGGCTGTTCAGTAAAGGCTTAACTCCATCCGTTTGCATATCGTTTTTGATTGAAAGCCTTGCTCATCAACCTCCATTTGTGCTATTAGAATTCTATTTTCTGCAATAATTGCCACAGATGTGTCCTTTGATATTCACAATTGTCACTGGCTGGATAGCATAAAATGGAGTCTCTTAATTTTGCTATTGAGCATCAAAGCTTTAAATAAGCTAACATTCTGTTGCTGGTCATCTGTGGAATGTGAAAGCTTACCCTACTAGCATTTTGATGTGAAGGAATTATCCCACCACTTGGCTCCTACACTTTCTAAAATGTTTTAATGTACTTCTAGTTAAATACTGTGTTTTCAAACACTGCAGTATTTTGAGAGATGAAAGGAACTTTATTCCAAAAGTGGATAATTAATACAAGTAAAAGATGTAAATTATTTGTTTATCGATAGTTTCTGCTGTTTTGAAGGCTTGTATCTGGTCTATTTTAGATTTGTGAAATTTAAAAAAGTTCTAAAGCGTGTATATATATATCACACAAAAACACCACAGCCTCATGTTTTCCGTTGATCCTTCTGGAATGCTGGAGAAGTTTGAAGTACATTTTGACCCCTTTTCCAAGGCTTGTCATTGACTGTTAATAAGGGGTAAGACACTTATGTGCAGTGGAGTGTTTATCAGATGATGTTTTGTATTGGTTGTGTACTGTGAAATGCAGGCAGATCAGGAGGGGCAATTATACTCCATCTGCTCTTCTTTCGGGATAACATTAAGAATTTATGAAAATAAATTTTATGAAATGTTAGCTGTGCATGTCATTTGCCTCTTTATTTGCTTTTTGTCTGGTGGTGCAAGATTGCGAACTAATGGTTTCTTGACGATTAAGCAAGCAATTACAGGCAGAAACTGCCACTCCAATGGTATGAGCTTCTAGGACTATGTTAAATTATCAGGCACAATATTGCGTTTCTGCCTGATAATTTAACATAGTCCTAGAAGCTCATACCATTGGAGTGGCAGTGCTTCTCATTCTGAGGGCCTAGAAGACTTGCTCGTGTTTAGCTTCTAAAACAGGAGTAAATGACTGCCTGCCAGCCATGTTCTTTAAGCTATATGCTGACCCTTTCAATCTTGGTTGTGTAGAGCCTGGTAGTGTTGCTCACGGATGTGAAAAAGACATTGGGGATGTAATCCAGATTTGCACTACAGTGGTACCTCGGGTTACAGACTCCGCTAACCCAGAAATAGTACCTCAGGTTAAGAACTTTGCTTCAGGATGAGAACAGAAATCGTGCTCCGGCGGCACAGCAGCAGCGGGAGGCCCCATTAGCCAAAGTGGTACTTCAGGTTAAGAACAGTTTCAGGTTAAGAATGGACCTCCAGAACGAATTAAGTTCTTAACACGAGGTACCAATGTATTGCAAGGCTCTTTGTGATGGCAGCTCTTCTGCCCACAGCCTTCACTTTTGGTAGGCAGAACAGGGAGCTCTGCACTGGATGAGTGATGCTGGCTTCATTCCATGGACAGAGGCTGGTGGAGATGGTTTGGGCTGGACAGAGGGAGACCCTTGCCCCATCCAATCTCCACAGTGTGGTACAGCCTATGGGATATTAATATAGTTGTCATAAGGTATAAAAATTAACCACGAGTGCTCTTAAAAGATGCTTTTGTTTTAAATACAGAAAAGACAACTGATTAGGAAGCTAGAACTATATATCCATTCCCTCAAGCAATACCCTCTTGCATGACCAAAATCAACGCAGCATTCTCATTTTGTGCGTTTGAGTGAATGTACTTTTCAGCAAAAATGTCTAAGGATAAGCAAAGAGTCAGGGATTTGGCTGAGCTCGTTCTCTTGGGATCTAACATGGTTTATTAACCCTAGGAGGCAGACTGACAGTTTAGGAAATCAAAGTGGAAAGGGCAGTTTTGTATTAAAAAAAGGTCCCAATCTTTTGCCACATGTGAGCAAACAGTGGAACGCAAAGATCGCGTCAACAGTGGGTGGGAGCACATTTCCTTCCTCCTCTCAGTGGTGTCCCAAGCACTCCCTTTTCCGCTTCACGTAAGTGCCCCTTTACCATTCATCCCTTGCCCTCCTCACCTGCCCTTTTCGATTCAAAGGGCAATTAAGGGTGATCAAATAACCTGGCGGAGAGGAGGGCCAATAACTCTGCTCCCTGTCCTGACACCTGTCCTTCAAAATCTGTGCCTGCATGGCCATAGGAAGCTGCCTTGCAGCGAGCCAGGCCACTAATCCGCCTCATCTAGCTTGTCGAGACTCTGACTGGCAGCAGCGAGCCAGGACTCCAGGAAGCGGTCGCTCCCTCTCTCTTCCCCGCGCCGCCAAAGCTGCACCTGAAGATGCCGGGCGTTAAACGTGGGAAGCTTCTTGCATGCAAGACAGGATCGCTATGCAGTGCTGCCCTTGCGCTGCGCGGGGACCTCTGCCCCCAGACTCCTCGCAGGGGGCCGTGAGTGACCAACCTCTCCCCACGTATCCAGCCTGCGAGTATTCAGGGCAATTTCGTTTATAAAGCCTATAAACAGCAACGGGCAGGTCAGCCCACCTCCCCCCCCCCCGCCCCCGCCCTCCACAGAACAGCGCCGCCAGCCTGGCTAGAGTCATTTACAGAACCGCGCAGCGCCGGAGGAACTCGCCAGGGAGCGCTGTTGGGCACTGCGGCGGGTGGGGCGTGGCTTGCTAATCCCGGAAGCGGCGCGTTTCCTCCCGCTGCGCGCGCAGCTCCGGAAGAAGCGCTGCGGCCGGCGTGGCTTTCTTCGCAGAGGACAGGAGTGATCAGGTGAAAAGATCGGGGGGAGGCGGGGTGGGGGGCTTCCTTTGGTTTCTCGCTATGCGCGCGCCGTCTCCCCTCCCCTTATTTTTTTGGCGGAGGGGTCCGCAGGCTGTTTCCCAGCGGGGGCCGCAGGTAAGCCCCCAGGGAGGGCCCCGCCTGCTGGATCGGACCCAAGTAGGGTTGACACCTGGCCTGTATTTCAATGTAAAAAATGCTACGTCCTGTGGCATTGATTTAGTTTGTCCTGTATTTCAGGTCTCTCTCCCCCCTACCCATTTGCCAAGTGAGGGACCCTCTCCAAATGCACCTGTTTGGAAGGATGTGTGAAAGGTCATGTATTTAAGCCGTCCCGGGTATCAAAACACAGGCAAGATTTACAGATTCATGTGCCTGCATGTGTTGTTGTTGTTTAGTCATTTAGTCATGTCCGACTCTTCGTGACCCCATGGACCAGAGCATGCCAGGCACTCCTGTCTTCCACTGCCTCCTGCAGTTTGGTCAAACTCATGCTGGTAGCTTCGAGAACACTATCCAACCATCTCGTCCTCTGTCATCCCCTTCTCCTTGTGCCCTCCATCTTTCCCAACATCAGGGTCTTTTCCAGGGAGTCTTCTCTTCTCATGAGGTGGCCAAAGTATTGGAGTCTCAGCTTCAGGATCTGTCCTTCCAGTGAGCACTCAGGGCTGATTTCCTTAAGAATGGACAGGTTTGATTTTCTTGCAGTCCAGCAAGAGTCTCCTCCAGCACCATAATTCAAAAGCATCAATTATTCGGCGATCAGCCTTCTTTATGGTCCAGCTCTCACTTCCATACATCACTGCTGGGAAAACTATCAAAACACAGGCAGATTTACAGATTCAAGTGCCTGTGTGTGAGAGAGAGACAAGTTCCAAGAGGGGCCATCTTGTCAGGCTGCCATAGATTGCAATGCATTGCTTTGAAGTCACTTCAGCACAAGGTGGGGAAAACAACAACAATTTGGCCCCCAGCTGCCCCACTTCACCCTGTCCTGTATTTTGCCTGAACGAAGGTAGCAACCCTAGACCAAATATCTATCTGGTCCAGCACCCTGTTTCCTGCAGTGGCCAACCAGGTGTCCCCAAGCAAGGAGTGAGCACCATATCACTCCCTTTCTGTGTGTCCCAGCAGCTGGCACTCAGAGGTGTTGCACTTCTGATATTGAAGTGATTGGGTTGCGTTTTTGTTGTTGTTTTAAGTTATTGGACCTTAGATTGTGATCTTCGGATGAAGGACGGTATACAAATGGAATTAGACTTCAAAGTGCCTGGCCAGACCCCATCCACCCCCAAAAAACCATCAGGGGAACTGTAGTGATTAGAGGGCCTGACTAGGACTTGGGAGACCCCAGGATTCAGTCACGGTCTCTCAGCCTAAGTTACCTCACAGGGTTGTATTAATTTTTTTTTTTTAAGTTACAAAAGAAAAACAAAGTAGAAAAAGAGAAAAAACAAACCACTTCCAACCATACATATACAAATTCAAAATAGGAAAGAAAAAAAACAAAAATACACCACAAACATTTAAAAACATTTAAAAACAAATCCATTATTCTCAACTCCTCAACTGTCATTACCCTCTTTCCTTGACCTCCTCCTCCTCCCCTTCCTTGTATCCTGTTTGTTAATTGTCACAGCAAATCCTTTCCATATTTCATAATATTCTGTCATTACATTACCTTAAACTATTTTAATCTTATCTTACTATAAAAAAAACCTTGAGACTTAAAACTTAAATCTTATTTTTACCAACTTCTCATAACCATAATATTCTTGCGTAATTCTTTAAACATTTTTACTAAAGCCAAGTAATTTCATTCCAACATTTTTCTAACATTCATCAATTTTATAAAACAGTCCTAGTAGTGAAAAAAAGAAATAAAAACAAATCCAATCTTCATCCAGCGTCCCTTCCTCCTGGTCCCGGGTTTTGTCAGTCCTTATTATCCCATCAATCTGGCGCATTAACCTGGTAATCTTATATCCGAGGCCCTTAAGTCCATTCCATGTCCCTTCCGCGGCTCTTCTTCATATTTATAGCTGTATTTTCCTTTGTCTCCTGCTCCTTTCACTCGTGGGAACTCCAACTTAGCAATATTTTTGACCCTTCTCGACAGATCAGCCCCTTTTCCATAATCGACACTAAATTCCATGTGGTATTTAAAAACATGTTTCAGAATCCCTCCAAAATTGAGAGCCCCCACAATCCCAAACATCTCACGGCCCATTGCCAGACTTGAAAAGTCCAATTTCATAGGAGGGTCTATCCAACCCCCCATTTCCAAACCAAACCAAACTTTTTCTTTCCAAATCTGGCTTTTTCCAAGTTCATTTGTCAAATCCAAAGCTCATATTCCTGTAGGGCCTGTTCTGTCAGGACACACTCCTGATTTAATTCCTGGGTGGGCTCCACATATTTTCCCACTGCCTGTTCAAAATTTCCCACTGCCTGTTCAAAATTTCTAATCGAATCAGCCATCAAATTCGTCTTCTCATGTAACTGTTCCAGTAGGGCATTTGTTTTATAGAAAGCACACAACAGAGCTTCTGAATACATTGTCCTGAAGGTCAGATGTCTATTCCCACGATTGTAATCTGTAACAGGTGCCAGCTCCCAGGAGTTGGTTACAGTTTCACAGTCTCCCTCTAGGGGGAGAACTTCTGTTTAATCTTTCTTTTAAAGACAAGTCTAGCAACAGAGTTTCCTTTTTTTCAGATATTTTGTCAATATTTGTTCCTTTAAGGTGCGAAAGGAAACAATGGAATCACTATGTTCCTCTTCTTTTAGCTATCTGTCAAAAGCGCTTGTTTCTGGTCAATGAGCTTCAAACGTCAGTCCTGACACCCCGCTCCAGGATCAGGACGGTGGAAAGTTACTTACTTTAAACTCACTTCTGCAGGTTTAAACAGTCCAGAAAAGATCCCCCTTCTTCTCCTGCTGCCGAAGGGGGGTTCAACAATTTTAAATGATGAAAGCCAATCCTTTAGAGGCGATTTTCTGAGCTCTAGTTTACGTTGTCTTTGCTTTATTCTGTCTACAAAGAAACGGAAGGCTGACTTCCTGTTTAGACCTTCCCGTTTCAGTACCAAATTGAAGTAAAATTTTTAAGTCCAATTCCTTTCTGCTCGCAAGTCCTTATTTAAAGTCCAATTGTTCAAAGTTTAAGTACTCACGGGTGCTTATTTTAGAAGCCAATTTGTCCCAGGAAAAGGCAGCGCTCTCCGGCAACAGCTGTGCGGCTTCGCTCCACGGAAATAGCAGTTGACTCACAGCACCGCGCCACTTCCCCCTCTTCGCTTCGGAGCCCGTTAGTGGGTTCCTTTGCAGGTTGGGGGGGCGCTAAGGGTGCCCGCCGAGTCCCATGGTCACAGGCTTCATCCGCCTGTGATTTTTAAAAGGGTCCCCGCTTCGCCGTAGCGGAGAAGACCCATTTCGCGCGGAGCTAGTCCCTCCAATTCAGAGGGAGTCCGCCATTGCCGATGGCGCCCCCCCGGAAGTCCCCCACAGGGTTGTATTGTAAATCAGGGAGGGAGAGAAGCACACACACCACCTTGAATGCCTTTAACCTGTATTTTAAATTGGTTCTCCCCCCCATTATGTTTTTACTGTGATTTTATTGGTGTTAGCTGCCCTGAGCCTGGCTCGGCCAGGGAGGGCGGGGTATAAATAAAATTTACTATTACTATTATTATTATTATTAGAGCAGGCATAGGCAACCTTTGGCCCTCCAGATGTTTTGGCCTACAACTCCCATGATCCCTAGCTGACCTAGTGGTCAGGGATAACAGGAATTGTAGTCCAAAACATCTGGAGAGCCAAAGGTTGCCTATCCCTGCCTTAGAGGGTATAAATAAATATAATACATAAATAGTGCCCTGCATTGCTGTCAGAAGCATGAAAGAAAAAGCAGAAAGGCATCAAACTGAAAAGGAAGGAGACCTTCAGCGGCACAAGTTTGTTTGTACAGTAGTTGGTGTTCCAAACATGGTTTGAAATTAACTTTGGACTGAACCTAGTTGTTCAAGAAATCAGTTGAACAGAACTTGGTCTGAAATGTTTTGGACTGTGTAAGAAAGATTTACTTTGTGTACCTGGAGGTATCCTCCCTCCCTCCCTTTCTCCTTTCCTTTCTTCCTCTCCTTTCTCTTGCATTGGCCTGCCTTAATATGGGTTCCTGGGCAGCTGTACCTGGGGTGCTGCACTGGCAAACAGTGGGTTACATCTTGCCCTGTGTTTTCCTCTTCATAGAAGTAAACAAAAAAATGGCAAAAAGCTTGAGGAGTAAATGGAAGCGAAAGATGCGAGCAGAGAAGAGAAAGAAAAATGCCCCCAAGGAGCTTGCCAGATTGCAGAACATCCTCAAAACAAACGCTGATGTTCTAATGGATGAGGTGAAAGAGATAGCAACTGTCGTTCCTGCTGAGAAAGTCATAAAGAAGGAGGATCAGGAGGGTGAGTTGACCTATTTTTTGCTTTTGCTCTAAGGAATGCCACAAATCAGCTCTGAAAAATGGGAAGCAAATATTACATACATCCTTTGCCAGAAACGCTTTCCCTCTAATTCATTTGTTGTATGCTTTTCTTATTTCCAACCCCTCTTTTTGTTTGCCAAGTCTCTCAGCGTCTCTATTAATGAAGTTCAGCCATTGCTACTGTAGGAAAGCAACTGCTTCCTTGGCAAGTTTAGCCAATACAGTGGTACCTCGGGTTCCATACGCTTCAGGTTACAGACTCATCTAACCCAGAAATAGTGCTTCAGGTTAAGAACTTTGCTTCAGGATGAGAACAGAAATCGTGCTCCGGTGGCGCGGCGGCAGCAGGAGGCCCCATTAGCTAAAGTGGTCCTCAGGTTAAGAACAGTTTCGGGTTAAGAACGGACCTCCGGAACGCATTAAGTACTTAACCCGAGGTACCACTGTATATGTTGTGCGGCCAAAGGAATCTATGTAGAAGAAATTTGCTGTGCTCTCCCAAGTGTATTTTGATCCATAGCTTTCTTTATTCAAATGCTGAGCACTTTCTATGGGACTGTTGCCTATGTGCCCAAAGGGTTCAGCATCTGAAGTTAAATACAGTGGTGCCTCGCAAGACGAAATTAATCCGTTACGCGAGTCTCTTCGTCTTGCGGTTTTTTCGTCTTGCGAAGCACGGCTATTAGCGGCTTAGCGGCTATTAGCGGCTTAGCAGCTTTAAGAAAAAGGAAACAAACTCGCAAGAACTCGCAAGACGTTTCGTCTTGCGAAGCAAGCCCATAGGGAAATTCGTCTTGCGGAACGACTCAAAAAACGCAAAACCCTTTCATCTAGCGAGTTTTTTGTCTTGCGAGGCATTCGTCTTGCGGGGCACCACTGTATAGGAAGAACAAAGCAGAGGGGAATATTTATAAAGTATATATAATATCCCCATACTTTCTCACACCATCCTCTTTCCAGTTCTTCTCTCCTCCCACAACCAGTCAGTATTAGAAGTAGCCTGAATCATTTATCTTATTTCTTCCAACATCTTTTGATTTGCTTTCAGCACTAGCTGCTGTAACAGTTCACACTGCTCATACTGCCTTAAGTGTTTTCCCCCCTTTTCTTTTCCAGAAGGGAGTAAGATGGACATGGATTCAAAAAGAAACCAAAAAACCCTTCTGGATGAACATGGACAGTATCCAGTATGGATGAATCCCAGGCAGAGGAAGAAGCTCAAGTCAAAGCGGACCAAAGGGAAGAATAAGCACAAACCACCTAAGGGATTAGCATGGTAGAGGCTGGGTGAATTTCAAAAAAAAGTCATGTGTGTTTGTGGAAGACTTTTATGTCAAAAAAGGCAACCACAAAAACAAAACAAAATGTGACTTAAACGATTACTGCCCTTTTCACTGTTTGCTTCAAATGACTAATTTCTTGCTTCAGACTCTTGGACTGTCACCTTGTGGATGTCAGTTTGGAGGCACCTTGGAATACTTTTGATTAAATAAAACTTTCACGTGTTTAGTATGCATTTTACATCCTGCACAAACTAGAAAACAGTCAGCCTGAACAGAGTGAGCACATTCTAAGCTAGGTAGGTCTATGCTTTCCAAAACAATGGGACTGGTCAAATGCTTTAAGACCCAGTGATTTCAATGGAATTCAGTCCCAACTAATTCTCTGTGGATTGTGCTCATCATAAACAATGTGTGCTTCCCTCTGGGTGCTGGTACCACGTCCCGGCAGAAATGTTTATTTTTATGTGGTGTGGGATAGGGATCCACAGTTGGAATCTACTAGACAGGAGTATGCGAATTAGGAGACTTGCCCTCTGAATGGGCTGGGCACCCCTCCTCATTTCCTTCTTGCCTACCTCCACAGAAGATCATCATCAGCATGCTCACCACTTCAAAGGTTTTATGCCTCTTTAATTTCAGTGGTTCAGAGCTAAGTATGTGCTGTGCAGCCCAATCCAGTTTTGTTCTGTTGAGATCCTAGCTGAGAGTACAGACAGTTGTAGCCCCATTATTCCCTTAAAAGTAGTAGCTCTAAGTCTGCAGCCCATTACACAGTTGTTTTGGAATAAGCAATATTGAAATCCCTGGGGCTTACTTCTGAGTAGACATGCCTAGGATTACACTGTTAGTCTGTAGTCCTGCACACACATACATGGGAGTAAACTCCATTGAATTGACTTGGAATTGCTCATGACTAACATGTAGCTGCTCAGATTCACTTACATCCTACTCTAAATAGGTATTTTTAGCCAATAACACATGGATTGAATTTAGCATTGCAAATGTCCTCGTATGTTAATGGCAAGTTGTACACTGTACAGTCATACCTCGGGTTGAAGTTGCTTCAGGTTGAGCATTTTCGGGTTGCGCTCCGCAGCGACCCGGAAGTAACGGAACACGTTACTTCTGGGTTTCACCACTTGTGCATGCGCAGGCGGTCAATATGACGTCATGCACAGAAGCGGCGACATGCGCAGACGCAGGTTGCGTTCGCTTCAGGATGCGAACGGAGCTCCAGAACGGATCCCGTTTGTATCCAGAGGTACCATTGTAGTTTTAAAAAGCTGAATGCGGAACGGATCTGGGTTTCCGTGCTTGTGAGAATGCATGGGTTGTGAAGGAGGACTGTGTGTAGTGCAAGGAGCAGGTCAGCACTGCTGGTGTTTATGCCTGATGCTGCCTGGCTTTGCTAACCTCCATACCTCTCCCAAACCTAAAAAGAACTCTGCTGGATCAGACCAACAGCCTAACTAGTCCAGCATCCTGTTCCCTACAGTGGCCAGCCAGATGCCTGTGGGAATCCCACAAGATAGACATGAGCGCAACAGCAACTTCTCCTTCTTGCTCTCCCTAGCAAATGGTATTCAGAAACATACTGCCTCAAATACTGGAGGTTATACACAGCCACCATGGCTAGCAGACATGTTGAACATGAGCCATCAAGCTGCTGCATTTTGTACTAGGCTCACTGGTCAACCTCAGAGGCTGTCCCACAGAACACCATGCAGTAATCCAACATGGAGGTTACCAGTGCATAGATGGCAGTCCAAGTCCAGAAATAGCCATAGCTGCTATACCACATGAAGCTGGTTAAAGGCATTCCTAACCGCTGAGGTCACCTGCGCTGTTGGTGCCAAAGATGGATCCAGGAACACCCACAAGCTAGAACCTGAGTACAGCTCCATCCAAAGCAAGCCGTTGACCAATTATTCAGACTCAGTTCACAGTCCTTCTGTCTTGCCAGAATTCAAGCTTTCTTTGCTGGCCCTAATCTACTCCATCACTGAGTTCAGGTACTGGTCGAGGGCTTGCATGGCCTCTCCTGCTTCAGATGCTAGGCTAGAGAAATAGACCCCAAATCTAATAATCACTGCCAACAGCTTCATATATAAGCTAAAGAGCACCAAGGTACCTTGCAGCACATGTGCCAGGGAACAAAAAATTAATCACTGATCCTGAAGATAGAATTGGAACCAATGAGTCAGCTCAGGGAAATGCCATTGTACTGCAACCCATGGAGAGTTCAAGTAAAAATAATACACATTCCCCCTGTCCTCTTGAAGGCGGCCATTTATCAGAGCAACAGGGCTGATTCAGTACCGTAATAAGGCCTGAAACTTGGCACAAACGGATCAAGATACTCTTTCATCCAAGAGTGCTTGCAACGGTCTCACCACGACCCCCTCAATCACCTTCTCTCACACCCAAGGGAGAATTAAAGGGTCACTGAGCTTTTTCAGGTCAAATTGTAGCCTTTTTCAAGAAGGCTGGGACCACATGCTCCTGCAAGGACGTGTTGTCCTCCTAGCCATACCCCTTTAATAAGTCAAAAGGAGCAAGACAAAAAAGGGGCACACAATGGCAAGCATCTTAGCAAGCATGACATCAGGCTGCATCAAGAGAACCTGATGCCATGGTGTCACAGTAGATACTGCGCCGAATACTTTCCTGGAGACTGCAATAAATTTCAAAATCGCTCTTGAGGGGAGTGATTCTATCCTCAAAGTGCATTGGAAGCAAATTAAAGTGCACTTCTGAAGCTCCATTTCCTGGAGGAGATGTAGGACCTCGACAATATTTAAAAAGTTCCACTCTTCTCACCACCACACAGCAGGCAGAACCATGCTCTCATGTTCATTTGGCTTTGCAGCTTGCTTTTTGCCACCTATGCTCCAGCTTGTTTTATTAGCCTTCGTTCCTTGGTATACCAAGGAGCAGAACAGGCTTTCTAGTGCTGGAGAGGGTGCTTTGGGGGGGGGGGTGATGCCAAGAGTTCAGTGCATCTCAGTGTTCGACAGTGAGAAAGGGCTTCAACCAGGTCACCTGCTCTATCCACTGAAAAAACACCAGGAGCATTAAGGAATCCACTGTATTAGTCATCAGCTGCAGACCATCCAAATCTGTCCACCCTCCATACCCCAGTGGTGGTGAGGGAGGGTCAAAGCCCTGCAAGTCCAAATTTCACCAAGAAGTGATCTAAGCATGATCACTTATACCCCCGTTTCCAAATAATCCCTTCATCTGAAGTGAAGACCAAACTGAAGGTATAACATACCCTCTTTGTCCAATGGACATCCTGGAGGCCTGGAAGTCATGAGCCAGAACACTAAAAGGTAAAAAAAGGCAAAGGACCCTTGGACTGTTAAGTCCAGTCAAAGGCGACTATGGGGTTGCGGCACTCATCTTGCTTCAGGCCGAGGGAGCCAGCGTTAGTCTGCAGACAGCTTTCTGTGTCGTGGCCAGCATGACTAAACCGCTTCTGGCGCATCAGAACACCTTGATGGAAACCACAGCACACGGAAATGTCCTTTACCTTCCTGCCACAGCGGTACCTATTTATCTACTTGCACTGGCGTGCTTTCGAACTGCTAGATTGGCAGGAGCTGGGACAGAGCAACGGTAACTCGCCCCATCGTGCGGATTCAAACCACCAACCTTCTGATTGGCAAACCCAAGAGGCTCAGCGGTTTAGACCACAGCGCCACCCGCACCCTAACACTAAGGCAGCAGCATGGGCATTACAACTACCCTCAATTCCGGGCTCCTCCAAAACCACACCTACACTGCTTCCTAGAACCTGCAAGGCAGCAGGATGCATGGCACACCACCCAACTTTAGTTTTACTGTCTCCTTGGCTCGACACCAGTTGCAGGCCCTCACGTCCAGCTCCAAGATGGAGGGGTGTCCTGGTGTTAGAGCTGCAAGTTTTGTGGACCACAGCAAACCCCCCCCCCTTTGTCCTTGCACTCTGTCTTGATGCTGCACCAAATATCTGGACAGGCCACAAGTGGGTCAAGCTCAGCTCCTCCCAGCTTGCTCACTCAGCTCTCAATAATACATGTCAGGTTGGAACCCCAATTCACAGTGGCACCCTGAATTAGCAAGGTTTCATTATGCGCCGATCGTGATTGTGTTTTATTGTGCTGTAACACTGCAACCATACTGAAGGGCAGCATGTGGTCCCTACATATATTATGGTTGTTCCCAAGAAACTGCCAATCGCATTGCTTCACATTTTCAACATTTGAAAGTGGATTTCTTCGTGGCATTGATTAGTGGAGAGGGAGTATAATTTTAAAAAACAAAACAAAATTTGTTCCTGTTTTCTCAAACTCTTCACGTCCGTTGCATCCTGAAGCTCCCACGAAATATGCAAAAGTTCCCTGGATTAACGGAGCAGTCAGTAATCCAAGAGGACATTTTTTCCACCTCTAGGTCACTGGTTCAAATGCAGCCCAGTGATGAAAAGTGATTACCATCTGATGGCTATTCAGAAGGCAATTTAGCATGAGCTGGTGGTCTCCCTCCAGTTACCCACCAACTGCTGTCCAGAGCTCAACTGACACTAATTGGAACTTTTATTGACATCCAAAGCAATAAGAGCAAAGTGATGGAATTCATTCTCTCTTTAAGAAATGATGCCCAAAGACTTGAGCATGTGGAAGTTTGCCTGGCTTCTTCATGTTTGATAAATACATCAAATCTTGGGTTTCCATGAAGCCCAGTAGATGGCACTGTGAGTTAAGTACAAGGAAAAATGTGATTTCGAATGTTGTTGCCCCAGAGATTGCAACAACTGGAACAATGATAACCATAACATTAATAAATAACCATTTTCAGCTTGTTTGGTACGAATTAGCTGTGTGTTGTTTTTTTAAAATATTATTTTCATGGCTGCGCAAGCTAGAATTCCCCTTCCAAATGTTTTGCTCTTTGAGAAAGCTTTGGGGGAAAAAAATCTATTACCCATCATTACAGATAAGTTTCATGATTGTTTGTTTTATTTCTAAATTGGCATAAACAAGGATGTTTGGTTTGGATTTTACAAATTTCCTTGTGTTTATGGCTTGAGCGATAGTGCAAAAAAACTGGAGAACGTAACTGAAGCTGACTGCTATTCTAAATATTCTAATCTATAGTGAAGGGCAAAACATGAAATCAGCAGAATGCATGGTTACATATCACTTAAAACAATTTGAGCTTTGCTAATGCAAAAATAACATTTGTTTCCTA